TGTTAAATCCTTAATATTGTATGCTGTATGTATTGTCTTTGCCTGTATGGATGCATGTCCATATTAGGTGTACCGCATTTCACTATCAACGTATTTTAGACCAACGTGTTGCGGTTTCATAAAATTGCAAATGCCTTTTTTTAAAGCAGAAATAAATATTTGAAACAAACCTATAGCTGGTTAAATTTCGATTGAAAGCTTTCGTGACTGTAGGGATTCATCTTCTTGGTTCTTTCGGTAAAGTCACGTAGAATGGAAGTAATTAAATAATAAAAAAATAAAGCATAATAAATTAATTATTTTATTATGACTTTACCGAAAGAACCAAGAAGACTATAGCTGGTTTTAAAACATTACACCAACCTTTTCAGCCAAGGACATTTTTTTACAAACTCTTTTGCCATATATTCTATTAACAAGTTTGGGGGAAAAAAAGTTTCTTGCATGTATCTGACGTAACGTATCTGACATATGTTTAAAGTCATCAGCATTTCCCCCTTACTGAGACCGCCACGCAGGAATGGGTCACGAGAGAGCCACACTTCCACTATGCCTACGGGCCCTCAATGCAAACACAACGTGGAGTGTTGTACGGCGCAGCGGCACTCTCGTAACCGATGGCTTTAGTGGGTTAACAGCTGGGGTGTTTGTTCTCGTTAACAACAGGCAAGCAAGCGGTCCAGTAAGCCATCGCCCAGTGGCGACAGCATCAGCTCAGGGGGTGCGGCAACCGGTCAGGTGGGAGCCCCAGGACTTGCTCTCCGTTAAATTAAAATAAAAACGTGGCACGTAATTGAAAGCATTTTTATAAAAAGAAAAAAAAACATTCAACCTGAAGACGGCTGCTTGCGTTGTAGCCGAAACGTCGTGAGAATTATTTTATTATGTTTTATTTTTATTATTTTATTACTTCCCTTCTACGTGACTTTACCGAAAGAACCAAGAAGATTCAACCGCGTTTTACAGTCGCGTTCTTTTTACACTGTTGTTGAGAACGTATCCCACGACGGTTGTCAAGCCCCCCCCCCCCAACTCGTAGCTTTGACCACCAGGAAGAGGGGGGGGTTGCAAGGCACACCCTGCCCCCCACGCGGGCTACACGAACTGGCATCGCCAGATCGTCAAACACAGATGCGACGTCGGCGGCGTCAGGAAAGTGCCCGACGTTTGCACGGCAAAATTAAGGGTCGGTTTTTGCTTTGCTTTGCACAGGACGGCACGCATTTCATCAATTCGCTCGCACAAAAAAGGATGCCAACAATGCGGCTCTCTCTCGAGGGGAGTTGCGATGAATAGCTAAGAAAATGTGGACTGGGAATTCAGGCAAGACTCCCGGGGCCTCTGCGCACATTAAGAACTACTTCTAGGTAGATTATGTTGGGCATGGCTCATTAATGCCCTCTGCTGGAATTTCTTCGGCGAGGGTAATGGTCCAAGCATATATCGTTGCATATGAAACGAGTAAGCCGTTAGCGGGCTTTGCCTTGTTTTCCCTTCCTGCTTTAGTATCACAAAGACAAAGATCCCCGTATAGCCGGTAAAAAAATGCTGTTAGCGAGGAGCACCTGTGAAGGCCGGCACTGGACACGAGAAGGGGTTGGTGGCCAGCACCATCACTTACACACTCGGCGAGAGGCAAGATCCTTGGTTCACTGATGATAGAGATCATTTTTATTTTATTTTGGCAGTGACACGGCCGAGCGGTGGCGCGTGTGCGCCACTTGTTGAAGAGATTCACGGTTCGATTGCAGCGGCTGCCCTGGTTATTACTGCGGCTGTATTAACCATAACGATGCGCGCAGTCTGCTTCACGATGGAGGTTACACGCAAATATATAATCGCAAGAGTTGGCCATTGTGTGGTGGAGGTCATACAAAAGCTCGCATAATTACTAATTTGGAATAAGCAGAGCAATCATCGGCCCCCTGCTGCAACATTTTTTCTATCAAGACCCTTCTGACTGTGTGAGGCTTTCCTTGGCAAACAAGTGTAATAATGAAACATAACTTTTTTTAAACTTTAGGCTGACCTGCCCTAGGAGTAAAACCAATCCACCTCCGACCTTGTAATTTTTAGGGCCCAAATAAAAAAAAATTGGGTTCATTGTTGATGTCACAAATGTATAGTCCTTCTGGAATACAATTAGAATATATCTAGAGTATATATATTATATATGCGATTGATATACTGTGGGTGTGAAAATGCTAGATGCACAGTGCTATGATCCCAGTGATCTGGGTTCAATTCCCAAGCCATGTGCACATATGTTCACGTATGATACTTGGTGTATAAACCTTTCCTGGACCTCCTGTAGGTCAACACAGCCTTAGACGAGCTCCAGATGGAGTGTGTAAACATCAGCACTGGGGGAGAGACAGCGAGGTGTGGTGCTGGTCTCAACACCCATCATACCCTGCACTGACCTTAATAGATGCCCACTAACATCACTTGACCTTGAAGTTCATGAGGCTGAACAGGGGGTGTTGTCTTTATCATCAAATCTACTCCTTGGTAGTGAGCGCTGGCTGTTGGTATGTGTATGCTTCTGTGGAAATTACCAAATATTGAAGAACGTGGTCTCAACGGGAGCCGTAATTTTCATTGGAAGTTTATAGGACAAATACATGTATTTTTGGACATTTGAAGAGCAAAGGTATTTTAATGAAACTGTGTGGCTTTAACCAACGCTAAATATCACAATAGCAATGCTATTTTCTCTCCACATCGTCACAATTTTAAGCAACAAAACGCATCAACACGGGTTATTCGTTAACTACAGCGCTCGCTTTCTTGGTTTCTATTAGAGCTCGCGTTTAGTCTTCGCAGGGACAAGCTTGCATTTGCTCGTTTTATGTTCTAATAAGAAGCACATCTTTAGTTTGTTTACCTCGCCTATGGCGAAAGAAGACGCCGAGTCTTTTTTTTTTCAAAAGACGCTCGCTCGCCACTAAAGAATTTGTTTGCAAAGGTGGATGCTGATACCCACGGCACCTGTACCACGGCTGATACACGGTCCTCTCCGGCGATATCGCGCCTTTGTCCACTTTTAATTGATAAGTGGACGGGAGGAGATGACGGACAAAGGAGTTCGCCCGATACAAATCATGCGATTTTAGTTGCATGTGCAACTGCGTGCGATTTTTTTCTGTAGCATTTCCACTTTCCTTTGTTGCAGCCCGCTTGCGCGAGTCTTTGTGGCCTTGCAGGCTTTAACAGCTTTGAGTTAGAACTGTCAGCCAAAATGCTGACCCCCCCCGATTCTTTCCAGTTCAGCAAAATCTGTTTATTTGAAATCAATTTGCATTCACCTATTTACATTCGCTCGTGCCATTTTATATTCCGTTGCACAGATGTGCACGCCTGCACACGCATATGCACGCACATAGGTATGCGTGAGTGTGTACGTTGCTGAATTCTATTACTTAAAAATATATATGTGGAAGCCTGTGCAGTTGTCTTATTTTACACATGCATATACATCTCTAAAACAAGCCTGATCTGACGATAATAAGCAATGCCTCCCCGATGAAAACAAACCTGGGGTATGGTCAGTGGCGGGTGTTAGCACATTGCAGGCTGTAATCAAAACAACATTTCTGGCGAGATGAGAAGAAGAGGGATCGATGTCGAGACAAGATGTGCGTGATATCAATCGGATTTTTTTCACGTCCATTTGTTTATTATCTTTTTTATTATGATTATTATTTGAAATTTGAGCTGATATTTGATGCACCGGTGATCCAGGTCCCGTTACGTTCTTTGGGACCCTGCGCATTTGCTTGGATTTATTGTTACCGAGCGCTACCACTGGGGGCGATGTTCACCTCCTAGAAGAGCCTCGAGCCAATGATGGAGACTTCACATTCTCTCAGTGCAGTGCAACCACCACTTCACTTCCCATAGCGGGGAAGTATTAGCTACGCGGCAGGGATGAATGGCAGATTCGACTGATACAACTGGGATTTCGAATTGCGATGGGTTTTTTTGTTTAATTGTGCAATGGGCACTCGGTGCCACCGGGCCTTCGATGTGTTTATGTTTATTTATAGTAGCTGTTGAAAGCTCGATACTTTTTTGTGAACCTAATCACAATCAGCATCGAATGCCAAGAGGGATGAACAGTTGACAAGTTCTAATCAGGTGAGAAGACAAAGGCGGCCAATTAATTCCAGTATGTATCAGAAGTCTGAGGCCTCCGATTAGCACAGTTGGTTCTGTACGGTGCGAAAGAAGTTCAACCTACATTATAATTATGTTACGATACAGTTTTTAGCACACACTCAAACCACTTAATACATTTTAAGAAAACTGATCACTGAGAAAATAATACAAAATATCTAAAGAGCAATAGCTTAATTTGAAAGATGAAATACCTCCACAACTCAATATTTAATCATCTCCATTACTCACACCGAATGTTTGTTTTTCATAAAGGAACACACACACAAAACAACAACAGCTACCATTCACGACAAAGTGATGTGACATCACCACAAGATATTGTGTCAAGCTCGGTGCATTTTCAAGCTACGTGAAGTGTCAAATGCCCACTGACAGAGATGACTGGCAGATGCTCCACACTTAAACCAACAACGACATATTCCCCGTATAGCCTTACCAGACTGTTGGGGCAAGTGTTGTTAGTGAACACAGATAAAGGCCAACATGGCACACGAGAGGGGGTGGGTGGCCAGCACCACGCTGGGCCGCCTTTGTCTTGCCAGTGGTAATGTTTACACACCGTACCAGGTACTCATTTGAAGCTGAATCGACCTAGGAGAGGCCCAGGACTGGTTCAAATAATCGTCACTGGTTTTTGGCCGTGAGTGGGAATCGAACTCAGGTCGCTGTGTTTATCTTGCAGTGCGCTAACCACTACACTACCACTCCCCACACTACCGCTTCCCACTTATACGGACACACGCGCACACACGCGTACACGCACACACACACAGAGGCACTAACGCTTGTTTTTTTCTTTCTTACTTTTCGTCTTACAGGTAACAAGCCCAGCAGTCCTTTTGGGCCTCCGTCCGAAATCAGCTTCGGTGCCTGCAGCTGCATGGGAGAAGATCGTACATCGCATTGCAGCCGCCACCTGTGCTCACCCGAGCAGCCGGGCGCGTTTCAGCACCACGGACAGCAGCAGCATCAGCAGCAGCAGAACGATCCTCAACAGAGCAGCAGCGAGCAGACGCTTGGCGTGGCCGGGCAGTCCAGCTCTCCGCAGAGTCACAGATCCCGGCACCGCAAGCCACGCCACGGGTCGGATGAACGAGCGGGCAGCGTCGAGGCTGACGCCCCGAACGCCGTCGAGCGGGAGAAGTGCGTCTTGGTGGACGCGGCCGCCTCCATGTTTCAGCAGCTTAGCGAGCCGTACCGCGGCGGCGAGAGCAGAGCGACGCCGCGCCCTGCAGCTTCGGCCGATGTCAGCGGCAAACATCAGCAGCAGCACGAACTCGCGGGAGACGGCTTCGATAGGAACAGGAGCCCGAGGGACTATCTCGCAGATGACAAGGACGCCGGCAACAACAGTGGTGCGGGCTCCATGGAGGACTGCGGCAATATGTCGCCACTTCTGGGCAACGGTCGCGTGCAAGGGGAAGGCGAGGTGCACGGGGCTTCTCCGCCAAACAAAATCGGTCACCACGCGGACTTCAAGTCGGAGCCACTAAGTCCACGCCCAGCCACGTCGCCGATGCAGTATGGCATCGGTCCCAGCCTGCTGGTGGGGTCGCCCTTCCCAAAGTACCTCCTACCGCAGGAATTTTCCGGCACGGCGCAGGCGTCGGAGATCCTGGCCAAGATGTCGGAGCTGGTCCACCGAAGGGTTCACCAGCAGCAGCAACAGCAGCAGCAGGATGTGCATGGATTTCCGCCACATGGACCTCCGTTCTTCTGTGGCCCTGTGCTCCCCAAAGGCACCACCTGCTTCGAGTGCAACATCACCTTCAATGGCCTGGAGAACTACCTGGTGCACAAGAAGTACTACTGCACGAGCCGGCGGATGGGCGCGCACAAGCACCTCGCAGAGTTCATCAACGTCGCCCAACGGCACAAATCGGAGGCCAAGGGCTCGCTCTTCTACAAGGACCCGCTCAAGGGACTTCCGCAGGGCGGTGAGGGCAGCCTGCTCAAGTCGACGCTCATCCACCCGGAGCCGGCACTCGAGATGATGGCCAGGAGGCCCTTGGCGTCTCCCAAAATGAGCAACTCCAACGTGGAGGCGTCCGCGATGGAGACGGCGCTTGCAACGGCAGCGAACGGCGAGAGAGGTGGTGGCAGTGGCGGCGGTGGCAGTGGTGGTGGCGGCGGTGGTGGAAGTACCAGCAGCGGCACTGCTGGTGGCGGTGCCAGCGCTACCGACGGGAAGAGTACCCCGGTTCCGCTGCTCGGCGGCGAATTAAAGAAGAACACGTGCGAGGCATGCAACATCACGTTCAGCAAACAGGAGACGTTCATGGTGCACAAGCAGTACTACTGCGCCACGCGGCACGAGCCGCTGCAGAAGCGAGCGGCGCTGGCCAGCAAGCTGCCCGCTCTCCCGCAGGGCGGCCGCACACGGAGGCGCAGGAAGCTCTACGAAATGCGCTCTTCATCCTCCTCCTCCTCCTCCGAGCATCAGCAGCAGCAGCAGCATCATCAGCAGCAGCAGCGTCTCAACAGCGGTGGGCCCGGCTCTCATCAGGGCTTCTCCGCGATGAGCGCCGTCAATGGGATGTCGATCATGGGCGTGCACCCAAAGTCCAAGGTGGTGCCGCCGTTCCCTTACCCGTTCGAGCAGGCTCTTTACAACCCCCTGCTGAAGCCTCCGCAGTTCCTCCTGGCAGCTAAGTATCACCACCACAACAGCAACAGCAGCAGCGGCGGTAACAACATCAGCAGCAGCAATGGCTTCGTAGATTCGTCGGGGAGCCCCGGACCGGACGGTCCAATTGACCTGAGCAAGAAACTGAATGGTCCTGAGCAGAAGAAGCAATGCCTGCAGGACAGGTTCCAGGACTACCACGAGTGTGCCTCCTGCAAGATCAGCTTCACCGAGGTGGAGGGCTACATCGTGCACAAGCAGTTCCATTGCCCCGCGGCCGCACGCTGCCCCGACTTTGTGGAGGCACCGTCTCGGAGGCGAGAGTCGAGGTACGGAAGCGGAGGCCGGCACGCAAAACTGGGGGAGCCGTCGAAGAGGGACTCGGCTGGATCAAGCTACTCTGACGGTAAGGATCAGTGCATTTCAATGAACGGCGACGCAGGCAACCACAAGTCCATGCCACCCGTCGCCAAGGTGTCTTGCCTCTACTGCTCGGAGGTGTTCCACGATGCCACTCGGCTCTTCGTCCACGTGCAAACGCTGCACGAACACCACAAGCAGTTCCTCCCGTACGGGGGAGCCATCCGGGAGAACATGTTCGACATCCTGAAGGTGCAGCAGGGCTTTAAGAGCGACACGCCACCCGGGGAGTTTGCGGCCAAAGCCGATGTTCAGCAGGTGCCTCTGCAGCCTAGCGGCCCTCTGCCTTTCCTGCCTCCGTCCCCCTCGGCAAAAGCGGAGGGTCCCGCAGAAGGGAGGGATTCCACTTCTGCTAAGCGGGAGAGTCCCGGCAATTCCTTCGGGGTCGTGTCTTCAACGTCGCCGGCGGACGCCCGCACGGCCGCGTCGCCATCGTCCACCGATAATCCGGAGAGAGATGGGGGAGCGTGCCCTTCATCTGGCTCACCTGGTGCTCCTCCCCCTCCTCCTCCTCCTCCTCCGCCAGAGAAGGTGGATTCTGAGCCACCGCAATCCGCCGTGAAAGGCGTTTCGGCCGCCGCCAATGGCAACGGCAAATACTGCCGCCTGTGCGACATCCACTTCAGCAACTTGTCCACGTTTATTGCCCACAAGAAGTTCTACTGCGCTTCTCACGCAGCCGAGCATGTCAAATGAACCGTCAACGTCTTTGGCCGATGCCTACGTCGCTACACGGGGACCACGTTGCCATTGCAGGTCAAGAGTTCGACAGCCAGAGAGACAGACATTCACAGACAGATGGACAGAGCACCGTACACCACCTTGAAAAAAAAAGCAGTGTTTTTGAATTATTAGTTTTGCTTCGTCTTGTAAATATCAAGATCTGTCAGTCGTTGATGATCAGGGCACTCACAGGTTTATTTTTTCTGGTACTCTGATGCCCAATTGTGCCATCCACTTGCCCGTCTGCATGGAACTTTGACTGCGCCGCCTTCACGCAAATTAAATTATCGGTGTCGTCAATTTTGTTATGTGCCGACCGCCATTAGAGGTGGTGAATTGTGCAAGCATCCGATGATTTTTTTTTGTAAGCGGGTAAAATCACTCTATATATCCGTGTATATAGTACATATGTGTATGTATATGTGTGTGTGTGTGTAGCAAATGTGGGGAGCGACAGGGCACTGGTTCGTGCACCCCGCTGTAATTCCAGTGGCCTGGCTTTCCCCAGCCATGGATAACATCAGTAGGGATGTGGCATCTGAACCTGTTTTGGGTCTCCCATAGGTTGACTCAGCCTTAAATGAGTACCTTGGTGCGGAATGTTGCACTGCGGAGACAAAGGCAAGCCAGGCATGGTGCTGGCCACACCACCTGCTTGTTTGCCATACCAGCCTTAATAGGTTCTCGCTAACAGCACTAACCCTTGCAGTCTATATGGCTAAATTGAAGGCGTTTTCTCTCTCTACTTTTTTTGCATTGTGCATATATTTGCATTCATATATATGTGCTCGTATATATGTAAATGTAGGATGCTGTAATGCATTCCATGAGGTTTAAATAATGTCCACGAGACGCTAGCCCTGCCCGCGTATTTGCGCGGAATACATCAGTAGGGATGTGGCATCTGAACCTGTTTGTGGAGGGTGGGGGGGCGGGGGCGGCGTGACGTCAGCGCGAGACTGACGTCATCACGCAGGTGCGCGCGGTGACGTCACGCACGCGCACATGCCTGCCAGCAAGTCAGCTAGCCAGCAAAACGTTTTTGTTAAAAATATAATGGAGTATGAAGTTCATGGTGGTGCAACAGAAAAATGTTATAATTTGTGAACTTAGACAATAATAGCCTTGCCTAGAATAATTTTTGAGTCGCTTTTTTGCTTTCAGCATATGTATATATGATATTGGATTCCTGTTATGGTAGCTCAAATATGTGTCAAAAGACTGTATTTTAGTTAGCATCTTATTTAAATACGGACAAGACAAGAACACAGAAGCACTACATTTTATAAACGTTTATCAAGTAATTTTAGATATTAGCACGAATGTTTTGTCTGCTTGGGTGCGTTTGGATTCCAGTTAAATGTTCATTGACGAAACACTTGATATGTGTCATTGTGCTTAGAGGAAAACATTACCATATCAAAGGCAGCAAGGTAAGTCATGCATTAACCAATGGTTTGATGCAACCAATAGCACCCATACTACACTGATATCAAAGCCCTGATGTGGCATCACTTTCATCCCCGCAGGGATGATGATGATGATGATAAAAAATTATGGATTGCTTCGACCCCTAACTGGGATTTGAACTCACAACCTCAATATCACTGTACACCGCCCAATCGCAAATGAGTAGACGCCCCGAAAATCAATGCCGTGGCACTGTCATTGACAAACCTAATTTCTATAAGGTAATGAAGAGAGCATTGTTAAAGATTTAACCGATGCGATTGGCACTTACTTTCTCGTGAAACAAGTTAAGGGTGGAGCAGTGGTGCAGCGATTTGTCCACTGGGCTCTGGTCTTGACGACCTGAGCTCGATTTCCAGCCAGGGTTAACGTCAATTGGAGTGATAGCTGAACCAGTCCAGAACTGCTCCATTCACCAACCTTTACTTACCAGAGTGGAGAAGTATGGTCAAACAATCTTCCTGACCGGCACGGCACGGGTAGAACGAGGATCCACCAGTATATGGACAAAGGGCTAAACATCGTCGTTTGTTATCATTAAATTGTTAAAAAGTTCATGAACTCTGCATGGCAAGATCATTCTGAAAATGTGTCTGAAACATATTTGGGCTATACATGAAAATTAAATCTATGTTTTTTTCTGTACAGCTTGTACTAAATAGTTCAAATAGTCATTGGCAGGGCATGCTGGTTTTCTGAAGACCGCGAAGGAGATTGTTGGCAGTCTTCTTCCCTGGATGATGGTAAGAGAGGTGCCATAGTAATGAGTGTGGTTACTGGTCAAACACTTCGGGTTATTTACACGAAGGTTTATATATGTGATGGCTGTTGTTGACATGCAAAGAATTTGGAAAACGTATCTTCACACACGTGCAATGGAGTTGTGTTGTCATGTCAACCAAAAAAAATCCTTGCTTTTTTTACGATTATCATGTTTGTTTGTCCATCTTTAAGTCTTTAAAATTATTTAATTACATTCCATGTACATTCCAAAAGTCGTATATAGATTTATAACAAACAAACAATCTAGGCAAGCTGAAAAATAATAATGAAACATGACGTAACTAAAGGTGTTGTGGCAAATTATTTCCGATGTCTTTGCTGACGATGCGAGTAAATGATGAAAAGAAACGAGCATTAATGAAAAAAAACTAATCCGTATTTATTTTGAGCAATGCAGCCAGGCAACAAAATCAGAGGTATTTTAACTTAAACGTATGTGAAATATTTAAACACCTATGATGTTCGCTCCAATTATTTTAATGACATCCATTCACCACGCCACCAAAAGGAATATGTATTTGTACAGCAGACGCACTTTTTGTAATACTGTCTGAATAAAATTCAGTTTATTGGGAGGATGCAATTAATAACATAACAGATGTTTCCACTGTTTTGTTGCATTAATCAGTCAAGGGGAATTCATCATGTGACAACGTGCTCGTATGTGAGGCTCCTTATGATCTTGAGGGTTCCTTTTACAGGGTTCAACGTTGGGCTCGGGTTTTGTATGTTATTTGAGCTTTGTAAATAAATCCTGCATGATACATCACATCTTTACCCCCCGCCCCTCCCCCTCCACAGGCAAAAGTGTTGTATATCTTGTAAACATCATGTTAAGAAATAGTAATTTAAATATATGTAAAAATATATATATAAACCTATAGCAGCCAGCGTTAGACGTTTTTTCGAACAATTAGTATTGCTACTTATGAGGTGTTTGGGGTATAACCCTTGAAGGGGCTCTACTTGCATACATTCCCTGAAAGGAGCTGTGAGGCCTTCTATTTGTTAACGCAGACCCAGCTAAGCCTGATTGGTGGGGCACATTACACGCCCCTCGCTGTGCCAGAGGCGTCTATGGATTTGAATGGGAGGGGTTGCCCCTGAAGTGAAAGTCAAATGAGCACTTCCCTTCGTCCGCTCTGGATTTTGCTCCTGTCTTTTCATGCCTCGCACGATGCGTGCAGACACACACACAGACACACACACAGACACACACCCCACTGCACACACCCTACTGCTCTAGCAATCCCCCCTCCACCCACTCACCGCCGGACAGCATCATCCACGGGCTATGATGCCACTTGTAATGTGACTGTTGCACCATAAAGTACTTCTACTCTGAAGCAGCTGTTGTTGAGCCCTTTAAACCGTCCAGTGCTTATATCGTGATGTGCGTTGAATGTCATTGGTAGTGTTTATATTTTGATGTGAAAGGGACTGTGAAAATGCAGTTTTTATATATATACAGTATATAATTTATATCAATTACTTTTTTTACTGTACAGAGCACTTTGTGAACCCATTGATGTGGCTGAATGGTTTTCGTGTCGTATTGTTATTTTTTTTGTTTCTAGGCGTAACAGGCGCTGAATTGGTGGGAATTGGTGGGGAAAGGGCCAGGCATCAAAACAAGAGGTATTTAAATGCGACGGTTTAGAGGATGGGGGGGGGGGAGACATTGCACAGGAAGACGCGGGGGGGGGGGGGGTCTCCAATTACACGGCTCTCTTTTTTTTCTCGCTAATGTTTATATTTTGGAAATTTATATTTTGCATATTTGTCATTGCATGTGACAGGTTTTGCATGCCCTATTGTGATGAACAAATCCATGAATCGGTTTTAATGTGGCTGGTATGCATTGTTCTGTACAAAAAAAAATATCCGCTTCTCCGCATGGAATGTTGGTTAACGATGCCAGTTTATTAAAATATACTGTATGTCAAAAGAGGAGTCTTTGCTTTTGTATATATTAATCGAACCCCACGCTACATTCCTGAGCAGAGGTAGCCGTTGAATACATATATTTGGTGGAGCACAAAAGCCCTTGGCGATGGAGGGCTTGGGGCAAGGTGCAGGAGGCGAGGATGGTGTAAGCCGGTTTGTTATCTTAACGAATGAGCAAGCCACGTATTGTTAGGGTGCCACTAGTGAGGCCCGACCCCAGCGGGCACTGTGGGCACGCAATCTCAATTCGTAATCTGACCGCAATGGGTCGGTTGTGCCGGTGACAAGCACTTTGAAAATCGGGAGGTTGGAGGGGACCCATTTGATGGGGCGATTTTTTTTGCTCCCATTTCTCCACCTTCTTTCGCACAACGACGTCCGAGTTTGGTAGAAATTTGGAAACGTTTCAACGTTTTGGGATTTGCGCGTGGTCGATCCACACATTCGAAGGAGACCATCGCAAGCGCTTCTCCTGCCGCGGTTATCCGGCTTAACCACCTGAATGTGACATTGCAGATGTTGATTTGCACCACGTAAGCCGTACGAAAGAAGAGAAAGACTGTTGATGTATATACACAGGACTTAAAAATAACAGTCAGACAATGTACTAATCTACATCATTCAATCATTTATTTACAAATGAAATCCAAACGACCCTTTACAAACGATTTTAAGAGCAATCTTCAAAAGCTCCTCCATTTCATATATAAAAAAGGAAAGTCATCTGCATTATAGATGTGGTTTCACGAGACATCAGTATAATCTAGCTTTTAGGAAGCTCTTACGGAGCCTGTTGTTTAACATCAAAGATGGTCATTCCTCACGATAAGTCATCGAGTGTTTGCGTTGAGACCCAGATGACAAGTTTGGAAGTGTGTGTGGCTACTCTGGCTCTTTGAGCCTTGACACTTCGAATAAACATTGGTTTGCTCGAGGCTATTCGTTTTTTTTTTTGTTCAATTAAATATAAATAATTGCTACACTTGTTTTCTTTAACATAATTATGACAGACAAATAATGCAGTTTGAACCTTTAAACATTTAAAATGTAACCTTACAACCAACACGACCAGTAATTCACACACGAGTCAAGCTGAGGCTAGTTAAGTCAGCAGGCCCCAATCTTGGGCTTTGAACACCCACACACACAGCACAGCACATACCACACAGTACTGCATAGGAATTGTGCTCATACATTGTTTTTTTTAAATCAACAATTGCTGTGGGAGTTGCTCTTTAGAAGTGCACATTGCATTCTTTCCCGACGCCCCACAGTCATTTTTGGTAACCCATCATTTCGTGTAACTTTAATACGACAGAACGAGATAATTTATGAACACATTGCGCCAGCTCGGTCGATGTCACCGCTCCACCCTGGGCCACTTCGTCTCAGTTGCTTCATTGTCTGCTCACATTGCAGCCAACACGAATGCCCCTCTTGAAGAATGCACTCACACTCGCTTTGTGCGTGCCCGCTAACCATAACAGTCCCTTTTTTCTTCTTCGTTAGTTTCTCTCGTTAATCTCAATACATGTTCATTCATTCTCTCGCAAGGCAGAATCCCTCGGGCGAGCGTTCATCTACGCGCAACAACAAAAAACTGGGCATTCCCCCCACGATTAATGAGGATGTTGAGTTCGATTTGTCATCGATTTGAGAAGCAAGGGAATACTATCACTCTGCATGGTCATTGTGATGAAGTCACATTGAAGAAAAGGACACCATGCCTCCTGTTACACGGCATATTTACGGACGAACCAATATCGAAGAATGATGGTGGAGCAACGATCTCCTGGCACGGCAGTTGAAAGAATGGGTGGCTCTCAAATGTGTTGGCTTCAAACAGAGCTCCCCTCGATTTGAGAGCTCATTCGATCTGAGGCCTTTCGTGCAGGAATGGCATGAAATAATCACTTGCAGGGCTGCAAGTTTTGCACTTTACTCGAGTTTGTTTCCTACGAAAAAGATGAACTTGCAAATAATGATGACACAACTGATGTAATACACACACGCAGCTGTTCACCATCTGGGAAATGTTCCGAAACTTTCTCAAGTCCTCATCAATCAAAGCAGATTATCACAGCATATGCACATCGCACAGCAAATGAATGCAGACATGTGTCTGGCCCAGACTAAATATTTTGGTGTCATCGGCGTTGGCAACACTTAAATGTGCTTCTTGTAAAGGTCTATAATCGGGGTCTGCAACCTGCAGCTCCAGAGCCGCATGCGACTCTTTAAGGGCTGCTGCTTCGTAACCGTTTTTTTATTCAGGACCACCATCTCGGATTCGTCACACAGTGCATTGGCGGCTCTTGAAATATTGACTTTGTTTTTTTTTACTGAATTCGTAAAAAAACTTCTCTTCTTGTTAATTTGGTTGCCAACCCCCCGGTCAGTTGTCATAACCAATGAATATATATTTTTACACAATTGCTGAGCAGAGACCCAAAGGGCCCACAATGTCAAATGGCCAACAACACATTCACGGTAACCGCGGAAGTAGCAATAGAAGATTGATAAGAACGAAACTGACCGCCGGTGAGCCAATGACTGCAGTGAATCAGCGAGTGTTGGACCATTCGTCAACCCGCCTGCTTGACGTTGAATTCTACCCAGTGCAGTGAGATCGGAACTGGGTGCTCCAACCCAGACATGACAATATTACAGAGTAGGACGAACGTACGCTTTTTTATGGATGTAATAATTGTTTGGAGTTAAGAGGCTTTGGCACAGAAAGGAAACGCGAGAGTGCCTATTTAGCCAGATTAGTTATGCAACCAGGCACATGTACATTTGCTTTCATTGCCCACAGATGGATGTTGGTGCCTCTAAATTTTTGCCACTACACATCTGCTCTGGTTCACGGACTGAGATGTGAAGATTTTAATTGAACTGTAATGGTCTCTACGTTGACTAAGAGACCAGAGCTGGATTATTGGGAGATACAAGTCAACCTTGATGGTTTAGTGTGTTGTCATTAATTGGAGATAGTCTTGCTAAGATGGGGTCATCATGTATGAGATATATCTGTGGACCTACTGGACAGTGAGGTTCTGGCGAGGTTTCTAACCAACATACGCTACATTTATAATCAAGAGTCAATTTCACAATGTGTAGTTGAAGAATTATTGTACTACTGCCACTGGCGTCAGAGCGTTTAGGAGGTGCGGAATTGAAATCCCATTCAGGGGTCAACCCATACCCCCTTGGATAAATAAAATATGCACAACTTTTGTCAGAAGTCGGCATTGGTCATCCTATGGAGAGGCTGGCATACGCCGTAGAAATGTGGAATTTCAAATAATGGCTAAGGGATTGTCAATTGAAAAGACATTGCTTTGAGTTGATAGAAAGTAGCTTTGGTGTGGACCAACTCTAAAGAATGTCTCAGTGACTTTACCGAAATACCCAAAGAGTACACCAACGGTCCTTTACGATCTAACAACGAGAATTTCCCGTCAACCATGAACAAAAAAAACTGCTGAAACCAACAATGGCAAGACTTCATCATCCTCACATTGCATCATAATTATCAAAGAACCTTGTGCCAGAAGCAAATCACGAGTGCCGCATTTGCATAAGGTTGGGTCGACGAGATGGGTCCAGACATTGTGAACGACGAGGTGCGAGGTCACCCAATAGGGATGTGTATTATCGCACCACAATGTCCTCGTCATTTTGCACTGGAGCACCGGGTGTGTAATTCCATTCATTGAGCACCAGCAATGATGACTGTAAACACGCGCGCGAGCACGAGAAAGACCCGCGCTGTTCAGCCCCCCGCAGGACATCGGAGAAAGTGTTTGCTACGGATTCGCCCGACTAAAACTGATATGGCAACAGACGAGGGGGCGATGTGACCAGCACCAACCCTGGCTACCTTTGTCTCCCCAGTGTTTACGTGTACACACCAAACCGGATCGTCACTTAATGTTGAGTCAATCTTGAGCGGTTGGGGAGGAGGGGGGGATGTCGGGATGGTCCAGATTGCACCTGGTTCATGGTCAAGCAATCAAACCGAGTTCACAAAGATCACAGCAGAGTGTGATAACCACCACCGCACCTCACGGAGATAGGAGATCCCCCAAGTGGCAAGTGCTGTTAGCGGGCACCTATTGTCGGCTGGAATGGCGCACAACAAGTTGCCAGTCAGCCCCGTGATTGACCGCATTTGTCTCCCGAATTCGAACATTTGCACTCCTCACCAGGTACTCATTTAAGGCCGAGTTGACCTAGGAGCGGCCCAGGACAAGTTCTAATAACGCTTGCTACCGATGTTAGCCACCGTCAGGAATCCAACTTCGTTCAGGCCACTGGGTTATTTTGCACACAATGCGCTAACCACTGTGCCATCATCATCCCCCCCCCCTGCCCCCCCCCTCACGCACACACACGCGGACGTATACACAGGACACATAACACGAGTACATTTGCACTTTTGCCACGCAGCAGCAAAGTTGGCTGACAATATTAAACGTTGAGGGCTCCCGGGTTCAGGATGGACAGGGAGGTGGGGAGAGGGGGGAGGCTTAATAACGGGATCGGCAAGGAGGAAGTGGGGGGTGGTGGGGGGGGGGGTGGCAGGGGGGATGTGAAGAAGTGGGTGGTGGTGGGGGGGTGTCACCGATGCAAGTGGTTATTGGTTCTGGCACACGAGCGGCAGCACTGGCGCCCGTAGAAGCTGTGGCTGCACATGCCGTGCTGCGGAACCAGCGAGCACCAGCCGAATTGGTCCCGGCAGCCCGAGTCCTCCGCTGGAACGAGAAGGGCGCCGAGTCGGCAGGGGAGCGGGAATACCGACGGGTGGAAAAAACGGTGAAAGGGTGCAAGCGCTGCAATTCGTTTGCTTACGCGTCGCTGCTAGCGGAAGGGGGGGTAACCCCTCTACTGCAGGGAGCTCCAGTTGGAGGCCCTCTGGAAGTATTCATATTCTTAGGTTTTTTCGGTAAAGTCACGTAGGTAAAAAATTAAAATTAATAAAAATAAAATAAAAATCACGACGTTTCGGAGGCAACACAAGCTTCCGTCTTCAGGTGGAACCGTCACAGCCCGACAGCTGTATCAAGTAAATGAGAGATTACAGGAGATACCACTCCGTATATATAATGGTTGAGGGGGGGGGGGAAGGAAGGGCCAGGAATGGCCCACTTTTTATTATTATGGTAAGGTGCGGTTTGAGACTATGAATAGACTGCATAACAAAAGACTGAGCCTTTATTATGGAGAGGTTCGGTTTGTGTCTACTCATTCATGCTGGCGAGATGTCCTGCAAGATTGCGAGTGTACCCACAATTCACCCCACCACATGTAACCTGCCCAGCAATGTAAAGGGATTTGTATTGTTATGGAATAAAGTGACCATACATAACAGGGGTCACCAAAAAGATTTCCAAAATCATGAGCAAACACAAGATCTAAATTCGATTTAACACAGTACATAATAATTCGTGATCTGATCGAATCTGTGAAGGATGTGATCCTTGACATGCCATACCACGGCATCTACAAACTAAGCTGTGTCTGCGGCAGTAGTTACATTGGGGAAACTAAGCGACATGTCTCGGACCGTGTTCCTGAACATGAGGCAGATCTGAAACACCTCGGCCGTGGCTGATCATTGTTTTAATGCGGTGGGCTCACGCGAAATTGATTTCTCTAAGACGAAGGTACTTTGCAAACCCACTGGCTATCAACAAAGATCCGTTCATGAAGCCATCCACATGTATACAGACACAGACACAACTTCAATCGAGAAGATGGGTACAAACTTAGCAATCATTGGAAGGACGTTATCAACCAGTTTAAGTCGTAACTGCCTTTCATGTCCCCATGCTACCACCTTCCGATGTTAGTTGTTATTTTCGGCTCTCCGATTTTACATTAACAGGTTAAATTTCTCACGCTAACACAGCCACCTTCGCGCGCCAACCTCGAGTTGGAGGCTGCTCACCGGTCTTACATTAACATGCTAATTTTCACCTGGAAGCCCTTTGATTGGTGGAAAACCAATCACGGTCGTGGTTGCTGCCCAACACTTACATTAACATTGGCTGCTGACATTTGGGCTACGCCCATTTCAAACCTTTATCAACAGTTTGCCTTTAGAAGCTAACACCCTTTTTCCTGATGACGACCGGCTTGTGTTAAGATCGAAACGTCGTAGTTTTTTGTTATTTTCTTTGAACCTATCTACGTGACTTTACCGAAAGACCCAAATAATATTTATGGAAAAAATCAACGGTTTGACATGCGCGAAAACTGAGTGCACCAACACCATCCCAGCGTGGGTGAAAAGTCAGTTCGTTTGATTTACAGCCCCAATTGGTTGACATACCGTGACCAAGTACAGAGCCAATTCACGATCATACTCACGATTCAGCTGGTGTGAAGTGTACGTGCAAAAAAAAAATCTGCGGAACTCGCCGTGAGTAGAAGACTAAAGTTAAGTCAGAAATGCTCGCGAGACTGCGTTTCTAAGAGGGCGGCTGTTGACTGAGACGCAGGTAGCCGAGCGGACGTGTTGGAGGGCACTCAACTCGGCTGGCAGCCTGGACTCAGCGGTACAAACAATTCCACTTTCAGATTGTGGACGACCCCCGACATGGCACAGCACTCTATTATTTTATTTACAATTTTAGTAACGGTATTTTATTTACGATAAGAGAGTGACCAGCATGGTGAAATGTGTTAAAACTCCACGACAAAAGAACATTGGGAGACTTTCATTCGGCGACGGATCTCAGGATGTACAAATAAGAGGGTACTGCTGCCCAGCGCTCGTTACCAGCAGCGGAATAATGTGACTTTGAAGCAATGGGAAGGCAATCGAGCGTGCTGCCACACATGTCAAATATTTAAATGACGAGAAGAAGCCCGTCGTGACAGAATAGCAGAATTCCAGTGCAGGGTGGAAAACCGTACATTTCGAATAACATGCAGAAATGTATAAAGAGCATTCAACCCTTTGTGCTTTATGCAAAAAAAAAGAAACCCATCAGTATTTCCTGAAGAAGTGCATTTTGGTTTGAAGTCACCATCAAGATAATGAATGTGAGCACGTGTGACCATTTCTGTCAGGTCGGTTACATGTACTCAAATTTACCTCGCCTGGTATACAGGAGGTCGTGGGTTTGATCCCGACCCTAACGCCTACATATTTGGAATTTGCAGGTACCGTCTCTCTCTCCCCGTTGTCGCATGGATTTTTTCCCCGGTCCTCCGGTTTTTCCCTCCACATTTAAAAACATGTCTTTAGATCAATTGGCTGCTATACATTTCCATACAATAAGCCACTTCGTTGGGCGATCATTTGTGGCCAGGTCACCAGGTATATAGCTCAGTGGGCCTTGTAAAAAGTTTACTTTTGATAGCGACCGAAAACAAGAGGGCCACAATCCACTTCTTCGGGAAAAACGCTGATAGTTCCTTGCACGTTGCACCACAGCTCAGCTCCACGGCCACACCTGTGTTGGGCAGGGAGGCGTCGTGAGGGCAGAAGTGAGTGTTGCAGGCCGCGGACATCGGTGGCCTGAGGTGGGGGAGGCACCCGTGCGCCGGGTGACCCTGAGACGCACAGCGCACCGCGCGCGTCTGCACGCCGCCACCGCAGCTCACCGTGCACTGCGGAGACACGAGCGTGGGGTTACGGGTCGTGAGCGCTAGCAATCACACCGAGCGATCTCGAACACGGCTAGTAGAGGTTGCCACTGTTTACGATTAAAGCTACCGAACGTCCCGGTTTGGTCGGGACTGTCCCTGGTTGCAGAAACACTTTTCCCTGGTGTCCCGAACAATTGGGGGAAAATGTGGGATTTTGTCCCCAGTTTCAAAATGTTTTCGTCTCGTACTGATTCGTAAACCTGCAAAGGGCAGGGCTACTTGACTAATGGGGTGAGGTTGGCAGTGGAGTTGGAAGAGCCTGTGGGTAGAGTTAGTAGGTGGGGTTGACAGTGGGAGAGGCAGCAAGCTCACCCACGTGTCCTGGTTGAGTCTCCAGGAAATTCAACGGCTTTACATAAGCTGTGCCAGCCGCCTTAAGTGACGTTCACTAACACTTGCAAAACAACAGAAGCACCTTTATAGCCTAAACAGACTGTTGGGGCAAGTGCTGTTAGTGAACACCTATGAAGGCTGGCACGGCACACATGGGGGTGGGTGACCAGCATCACGCCCGGTCGACTTTGTCTACCCAGTGGCGATGTTTACACACCACACATTTGAGGCTGAGTCGACCTAGGGGAGGCCCATGACCAGTTCAGATAATCGTCACTGGTGTTGGCCTTGAGCGGGAATCGAACTCGGGTCTCCGGGTTCTTAGCGCAGCACCCTAACCGCTCCCCATCACACACACACATATATACACACGTATAGAATGAACGACCACTGCGGATATGGAGTGACAAGACCAGCTGACTGGCAAGAGTGAGACTTAGCAATGCATGGTGAATATATGTGGATGTCTTCATCCAGCAGTGGATATATAACGGCTGCTGCTGCTGATGGCATGTCTACTGTACTGTATGTTGGACATGTTATGCTGTGCATGCATGTACACTATGAGATTCATATCTATATTCACGCATATAAAGAAGTGTTCAAATAAACTTCTAAAAAGCTGATAGTTAAACCATTCATAGATAGCCGAAAATGGGTTATTCAAAGACATTCCACATTTTTATGCTATCCAATACTTTTTCAATTGTACTGAATGTAGCGCCTCCAGTGGCTGCATGACTAATGTCTATCAATGGTATGCAACCTATGGATGTATTGGCGGTACACTATTGCAGCTTAACACGCCCGTCATCATAAAACCGTCTAAAATCTAAAAAATGTATCAGCATATCTGTTTATCAGCCTTTAATTGACCATGACGCAATTCGAAGGTTTATTGAGTCTAACGAGACATCATGGGATCTTTTTGCAAGTATCAAAGTATGAAAAAATAAGAATAGGTGTATCCCTTTCTGGCGAACAAACACCAAATAGAAACATTTCCCAAGGAATCAAGTCTGCATTCACTACACACAGTGCGTGTGGTGTACATGTGGCTAATGCAGGCTTGATTCCTTACAACATATTTCTATTTGGTGTTTGAACATCATAGCACCTAGATTTGAAGCTTTCGTGACTGCAAGGATTCATACTCTTGGGTTTTTTCGGTAAAGTCACGTAGGTAAAAATAAAAATAAATAATAAATAATAAAATGGTAGAAATAATAGAAATAAAATAATAAATCTATTATTATGCCAATAAGTTTATTATTTATTTTTATTTTTACCTACGTGACTTTACCGAAAAAACCTAAGAGTATCTTAGCACCTGCTTTATTGCCAGAAAGGCTAAAACCTATTCTTATTTTTCATACTCCTGAGACTTGTTAAAAAAAGGTCAATATTGACCGTTGATTTTGGTCCGTTGAATCGATGTCGCTGTTGCCCTTGAGTAAGCTGCAGACTCTCCATCAGAAGTTGCAGCTGCTTTCCCATTTGAACGTGTGACACCAGGAGTCGTAATCTTTGGATGTCACCGTCCGCCGTGAAATGATTCCAAAAATGAATGGAGGAACAAGTCCGGACCAAGTCTAGAGCACGAGTCAAATCTTGGCCTTTGGAACACGAGGCCAATCGTCATCAGGCTGGGTGCTGCGATACGGCAACAGATTGTGAAGCTCCGTGTTCAGTTGCTCATAACGTTTCTCTTCCGACTACTCCAACATCACGAGAATTGATTTTGATGCACAACCTCGCAAGATATTCTGACCGGGGTTGCGAATCGTGCGAACGTAAATAATTATTGGGAAAATGTAGCTTTTTTGTTTTATACCGCGTACCTATGTAGCACCAATACGTTCATATGCGCATTGGGAGAAAAAACGACTCTTACGCAAATTAACGCATGAATCTCTTGCGTAAGTATTTATCCGAATGAGAATCATGATCATTATTTGTACTGGAGGAATCTGATGCGCCTGTGAAGCTCTTTTTCACAGATTATCAGTGGTCAAGCAAGTTCCATCAACAAACAATACAATAAATATTCTAGTTTAAGATTGAGAAAAGTTAAGCAAGTCCATACAAAATGAATAAATGTAGATATAGCATTGAAGTAGAAATTGCACTCATATATACATTTTTTGCAGAGTTATTGCAATTTTGAGTATTGTCATTGTAATTGTTGACTATGTATGTGTATACTCATACACGTCCGTAGCCAAATCAAATCCTCCGTGCTTGGTATGGCACTAATGTCCTTTACTGTCCCCAAGGCACCGGTGGAAATTCCTTATTCCCATGGCAGATACCAGTGTCTCTGTAGGAAGGGAAAAAAAACGAGCGTTGACTCGTGATACCAATTCATACTGACCACGGAGGAATACTTAGCCACAATGTGTGAATTCTCCGCAACCAAATATGTCCCCGCATTCGTGTTATTAATAATTGGCCACGCTCATTAAGACATGCTGGAAAGTGTTCATGGAACGATGTAAACGTCGCGGCGCTGTCTGTTTCTACCCAGAGGCCGTGTTTAATCTCGCCCAGTGCAAACGGTGCCTTATGTTTGGGCTCCGTGCCTAAGCAAGCCTTGAAGGAAGGTTCACCATTGGGCCCATCCACACACGAATTATCTTACGGGATTTCACATTGTGCCGTGAAAGTGTCGGCGTGTGATAATTGTGTTCTCTTCCACCCTGCGGTGAAATAGTTCACGCAGGGATGCCTGGTGCCAAGCACTGCGGAGGAGAACCCGTTTGGGCCACGTCAAGCCAAATTTCACAACAAATTCTGCAGCGTCACCTCATCTGCGTGGCCTTAAGAGCCACACTCATTAGTTGCATTGCTACATTTGTTTTGCACTCTTTTACCCAGGAACGCCGCATTGAATCTAGAGCTTCATTTTCGGTAGGGTCTTGTCAAGTTTTCGCAGTAGAGGGCAACGTTGATAAATGTGTAATTGCAATTTAATAAATTGTATGTTTGGCCAATACCAGTTACATTGAATTGGTGTTTTTGTCAACACAGTTCCATGAAACATATCCGACCTGACCAATTAACTGTCCACAGCCAGTGTATTATATGTGGATGGTGTAACTGGCATTTGCTACATGTGTTCACAAATATGAAATTTTCTTAAACTCGTGCATCCGCTTACTTCTAAAGTACAGGAACGCGGTGCTGTAACTGTCATTTTCTAAACAAGGTTCCCATAGCCAACCTGTCCACATATCGGCCTGTACCTCAGTGCCCGGCAAATGATGTATGTGGGGGATTGTATTGCGACCGTGGTATTGGAAGACCACTGTCAGCTGACCGCGTGACACTGCGATTAGAGATTCAGAACTTTCAATGATGCGTTCTACTCTTGAACGGGTAGAGGACCGACTCTGACTTCGTTCCTGCAGGGCGGATAAAATAAAGTACCATTTTGTGGCAAGTTAACAGCGATTGTCGTATGGAGAGACGGGCACTGTTATTATTCATGTGGAATATTCACAACTGGCTCAGGAGCTTTAGATAGAAACGAGCATCATCCAATTCTTACCTGAGCATGGATGCGTTTCACTTGTCATTACTTTCGACCAATGGAGTGTCAGGTGTGTTTTAAATGAAATAAGAGTACAAGGGGTGATCTAAAAGGTCCATGACCGAACGCAGCAATGAATGACCTTGAAGAAAGTGTGTTGCATGTCGCAAAGGTCCCCGCGCTCTGCAATGCACGTAATTCTATTGATGTTCCAATGTTGTAATCGCCGCCGGGAGGAATTCTCAGTTTTGTTCTTCAAACCACAACAAACATCACTTCATTATCGCTCGAAAATTGTGTTCCCCCGCAAGTGCAATTTTTTTGGACTGTGAAAACCATGTAGGAATCACTTAGAGGCCAGTCCTGGGTGAGTATTTCGTGTGTGACCAATTCAAGGCAAATTGAAATCCGGAATCATTAAATGGCAGCCATGGCAACTCGAAACATGTGAAGTGAACCGTTTATCAGGTAGCACACAAACAAAATTACGTCAAACACCGATATTAAAGATTTTTTTTATAAATGTGACATAGCCAACGGTATCGAGGTCCTCAGGGTAAAATCCAAGCAACCACCAACAATTAATGGTTCTCAAGAATAACGATTCAATGGCCTCAGCCAAGTCACGAATGACTGCATGAATCCACAAAAATCCCTTACTATATTCATATTGGCATTATACCGAAATTGGCACATCCCGGAGTGAACATATTCATCTCATGGCACGACGCCACGAGTGGCGTTGAGAGCTTGATTGGGGAACGAACGCCACAGAGTCCATCAACCACAATGCGATTTTGACAATCCGCCTCGGACCTCGTGTACGTTACACTGAGTGCGCGCGTGCGCTCACCGTTTTAGCACAACTGCGCTACTTCTGTGCTGGGGCCGATGGACTTTTCCCAACACCGCACGCTCAGGGCAAGCCTCAACACGTGGCACCGGCGTTTTTGGACCCCCCCCCCCCCCCCCCCACCAAGGGGTCTCTCTTTCTCTCCATGTTCAGTTGTACGTCTCGTTTCTGTATCTCTCTCTTCCCCTTGAGGTGCACGTTTTTTCATGCCTCTCGGGATTTTTTTCAGCGCCCCTTCTAGATGCGTGTTCCTGTGGAAGCGCGCTGACCGCCCACTGAATATGGTCTATGTGCACGAGGGAGACCGTCCAAAAGCCAGAGGCAAGAGAAAGAGACAGCGATATTTTACCAAACGAAACCCACCCAGACAAAAACATACATTAACATCCGATTAAGACCAAATTACGGTGGTCACGAATTCAGGAGTAATATACATAAAGGAGCAGCAGGCTCTATTGTAGGCCCTCGAGAGGATATTTGGCTTACTCTCCCTGCTGGTCAGACATTTGGAAGAGGTGGGAGAACCCACAGTTTACCCTACAACCCATCACCGACTCATCCACTGACAATGGTGAACACATGTAGACCGCAGAGCGGACGAGGGAGGCAGTGGGGATTCGTGAAAACGTTCATCGTTGTTTCAACTACCGCGCCAGGAGATCAATTTGAACTGGCCCTTCTGGATAGCAAGCTTACCGTGCAAAGCATTATGCCATTGCAGCCTCCCCATGCTTCTAATTAACCGGGTGAGAGCCCCACATATGGTAGACGGGCAAGCAGCACGGTGGCGAAATGTTAACTACCTCGCCCGGTATACACAGGAGGTCGTGGATTGGAATCCCGACCCTGACGCCTGTATATTTGGAAGTTGCATGTCTCTCTCCCCGTAGTCGCATGGAATTTTCTCCGGTTCCTCTTGTTTTTTTCCCTCCACATTTCGAATTACCACGCGTTTGGAGTTTCTGGGCTGCAATAAATGTCCACGCGTTGACAAGCTACTCCGTTGAGGCCAGGTCGCTTCTAAAAAAAAGGGCTATTTCAGCTCAGTGGGTCCTTACCCGGTAAAATAAAACCTGTTTAATTCGCTAATAGTTGGGCTTATAGTTTAAATATCTCGCGGTGTCCGGTCGCCGCGCCTCGCCGCCAGGCACCTGCGACCACGTGGCAGAGTCCCACTGCGGGATGGCGTTGCTCGTCACCGCTTTGTCCGCCGAGGCCCCCAGCGGCGCCGCCAGCTTCTGCCACTCGGCCGGCCGAGGCAGCGCACGGGGCAGCGCAGCGGGGGGACGAGGAGGAGGAGGGGGGCGAGGAGGAGGAAGAGGAGGAGGAGCGGCGGGGCACGACGCGAGGCGGCAGGGCCTCTCCGTGCTGGCGGGAGGCTTGGGCAGTTGGCGGCAGCGGCGGGAGGGCGACTCGCGCAGGGTGCCGCCGGCGTCGCGCTCACCGCACGACACCGAGCGCCGCTGCACGCCGGGCCCGCACGTCGCGGAGCACTGGCCAATGTGGGGGTGGCAGGGGAACAAGGGGGACACACACACGGACGAACGCACGGACGGAGAGTGAGAAATCACGACCAAGACGAGATGAACACACAAGACGGTGGGGATTTAGCACGAGAAGTTAAAGAGATTTCGATTTAAAGCTTTCGTGACCGCAGGGATTCATCTTCTTGGTTCTGTCGGTAAAGTCACGTAGAATGGAAATAACACCTGAGGACGGCTGCTTGCGTTGTGGCCGAAACGTCGTGAGAATTATTTTATTATGTTTTGTTTTTATATTTTATTATTTCCATTCTACGTGAAAGAACCAAGAAGTTAAAGAGAGACGGACCGACGGTGAAAATTTTTTCGCCAGCCCAATAAGAACAAACGGACAGACGAGAGAGAGAGAAATTCGCAGGCCATGGTAAGGCATGCAGACAGACTGAAACACACGGGGAGGCAGTGGGAGTTTACCAGATTAATAAAAGAGATGAAGGGAGTGACAGATGGAGATTATCCTTCCAAAGGCAAGAGACAGACAAACAGTGAACATGTAAAAGATAGCTAAAGGAAGGACACTGGACCATTGGAATGGCAATTATTAGTATTATTATTCGTAGTCTTTTTTTAACAACGTGATCGCTGAGAGATGGCCAAGTGGTGGTACAAGCATTCATAAAGTTCCCTTTATTTTACCCAGTTTGAGCCCAGTAAGGACATTTCTCTGGGCTAATTGCAAATAATCCATGAAAATGTACGAATGTAAAATGTGTGGAAATATACATTGTACATGCAAAAATGTGTTTTATTTACAAAATGACATTTCTAATTCAAGACATTTAATGTCAGAAAACCCGAAGTAAAAGAAAATAATAGAAAAATACAAATGTAGAAAATCTTAAAAATATTTTGTTTTAATTTGCTATTAAATTGTCAAACTTTGCAACATTATTCAGAGTTAATAAACTCTTTCATTTTCACAACCCCCACTGAAAGTTCAGTGAATAATTAGGGCGGCATATCCCCGACACTGATCTTGCGTGCCTACAAGCGGTGCCCGTTTAGCAATACCCACGAGTGGATATCAAAATTAATTCCCGAAAAACATTCGTGCCAATGCTGCAAATTTCTGAATTTCTGTTTCTGTCAAGGTGTCCCTCAAGCCCACTAGATGGCAATAGAAGCCCACACAATATAACAGTGTCACAATCACCCCGGTACTTGCGCCGCATTAAATAATATGATTAATTAAACTCCCAACAGTAATATACGTGATTTGAAGATTTCGTGACTGCAAGAATTCATACTCTTTGGGTTCTTTCGGTAAAGTCACGTAGGTATAAAATAAAATAAATCACGACGTTTCGGGCATTTTCACAAGCGTCCTTAATCAGGTGGGCAGCAGAGCATGCTTTCACACCTGATGACGGACGCTTGTGTTGCGCCCAAAACGTCGTGATTTATTTTATTTTATACCTACGTGACTTTACCGAAAGAACCAAAGAGTATAGTAACATACGTATATACGTATACAGTTTGCGTACACACACATGTGCACACGCATTTAATAACCCCCATTCTCAAAACGTGCGGACAGTAACGTAATGTGTTCCGTTAGCTACTGCAGGACGTATCTCTTCACTGCTGGATGAAGCAGCCACCATCACTCATGGCCCTGAGATGCAATAATCCATCTAGCTTCTGAACACGAGCTGATTTCATCACTCCATCTCCCTCGGTGGACGTCCGCTCAGGGGTGTTGTAAACATATGGAGTGGAAAGTACATCCTTGCTCACGTCAGCATATGAGACAACGCTTAGCTCTGTCGGCAGCTCTGAGCCAGCTGTGGACATTTCCACATTCCCATGCCGGGGGCCAGTCACCAAGTGCACTGCAAACGTCGGACGTCGTGCCGAACAACACGCGGCACAATCACATCGGAGCAGTTTAGCATAGAACATCCAGCGAATGCTTTGTTGGCGGGCATGTTCCACAACTGCTTACACTTGTGTTTGTGAGTGTTTGATGATCCTCTGTGATATTTTGTTCTTGGGCTAAATAGTTCATCCCATCTGGCGAACGTAGCATTTGCCACAGGTGCAAGTAATCCAGTAAACTCCTTATGTTGTTAGTTTGAGGGTTCATCCTTGGTACCAGTTAAGATTCGTAGAATGGGGTTCTGTATACTCTGAACAATACAGTTTAAAAAATATTTTTTTTGTAAATATTCATTACAGTAATGTTTTGTATTTACAACTGAAAGTATATATTTTTAAGTATAAAAAAAATATATATATTTTTTTAATATAAGCAAGCATCTTCTTGCCTGGACACTTATTTTATTAGTTTTTCTTCCTTTGGTGAAGACACGTGATATCATTGCTGCAATGCCCTTCTCATCCATCGCGCATTGGAGTTCATTTCCCTAAATTTTCACAATTCTATAATAGCATCACGTGGGGCATCTATCAGTGGGAAGTCAACAGCAGCGGTTGTCTCATAGTTGAACGAGCCTCGCCATAGCAATGTGGAATTTCCACCACTGGCTCAGCACAATCAAATGGAGATTAATCCTGGCCCAGAAATCTCTCGAGCAATGGCATTCTAACTTTGTACTTTGAGTGCTTTGCGTAATACAATGACCAATCAAACAGAGGCAAGTTGATATAATTGCTGTAATTAACAGAAAACTTTCTTAACTCCTCTGATCAAAAGTGATGTCGCTTTCTGGGCTCCCGTCCCATTCCAAACCCAAGCCCGGAGTGTAGTGCTTTGTGTCCATTCCCTTCAAAGCATTGGCGCTAGTTGCACTTTGATCCTAGGCAGTGATCTTGAAAGCGGCTGCACAACTGCTGTAAATCTAGCCCTTGATGTGTCCCGGACGTGTATGGGTCCGCGCAGGAAGCTAGCCCCACACCTGATTTTCCACCCACCGCACAACAACCCTCCCTTCCCCTGCCTCCCACCATCCCTCCGTGTCTCCCTCCATCCCACCCTCCCTGCCCCTGCCTCCCACCATCCCTCCCTGTCTCCCTCCATCCCACCCTCCCTGCCCCCTGTCTGCTACCATCCCTACCCTGCCTGCCTCCGCTGCTTCCTCGACTCCCTGCCTGCTTGCAAGCCCGTCACACATGTCACACACATGCAGAAAGCAGCCTACAAACTGAGCTCTCCGCCCTGGCAGCACACGCCAACATATTTGTGATTTCGCTTAAACGCTTTGCGCGAAGGGCATTTTGGCGCGTAGGGTGACCTGGGCAAATCAACTGTAAATCGAGATGGTGGTGTCAAACCACCAAAAGGCATCTGTAGGGGCACTGAGCCAGAACTGTTGATATCCTGGATTCAAAAGGGGCATTGTTCCTACCTTGAGATGAAACCGGGTTCTTATAGGTGGCATGTTTGGTTGTGTCTCGGTCTGGTCAGCAATGACCACATACAGTACTTTTTTTTTAAATAAACTAAACTATTTATATTTTACCAGATAAGGCCTACTGAGCTATATAGCTCTTTTTACGAAGCGACCTGGCCACAAATGATAGCTCAAAGAAAGTGGCTTATCAAGTGCACATTTTTAGCAGCCAAATACTCTAAAACACTCGTTTTAAAAAAATTGGTGGGAAACACCGGAGAAAAGTCCAAATGACCACAGGGAGACCATGCAAACTCCAAATATACAGGCATCATAGTTTGGATCAAACCCACGACCTCCTGTATACCAGGTGGGGTCGTTCACATGCCACCACAACCTGTTGGCCCAGATGAAGAACGCGCAGTTGAGCGGATGGCTAAGATAGAACCTTCTAGGCCAGCGGTGGTCAACTGGTGTCCCCTGAGGGGCATGCGGCTCTTTAATCCACCACACGCGACTCTATGGAAGGGGCATAACAATGAACACACCATCACAGTAGTAGCAAAGAATGATGAATGTCTCCCGTGCTGTGCCGAAAACTGTCAACATGTACACACGTATGTATATACTTGGCTCTTTGCCGGACTCATGGGCACCGTTTGGCTCTTGATCTGTTACAAGTTGGCCACCGTTGTTCTTAGGGTGTCTCGCTTATGCCCATAATGTGTGGTTATGATGCCTTAATGAGCTCCAAACTGAGAAATAAAATGTTTTCCCTGGACCTAGATGTTGATGTGATTTGAGTATGCAGTAATTATTAAATTTGAACCAGCCCCGTGTGCTCCCTTCACAAACCCACACTCCGCAGCGTGGCGAGGTGCGGTCAATCAATACCCATGACCAACACGGCACAGAGACGCCTTTATCGAGCGGCGAATTCCAAAAGGGCTGAAAATTATTAATTGTCATACAACAATTGTGGGAACAAAGAGGAAACATCTGCTTGGAATTAACAGTTGGGGTGAACCAATGAGTCTGCGATGACATGTATGCAAACTTGATACAGTTCAAGAATGAAAGAGCAAATCAGAAACAGTTTCCCAGAGATCACACGGATGTCAAGAGGAGCCACTTATTGATTAATGTGGTTCCTGGAGGGTGAGGAGAGGCTACGGAAGTTTACAGAGTGAGAGGTTGGTTCGCCGAGCAAGGCTGCGTAACACATGTGCAAGTTTGGCTCGGCACAAAGAAATGCAAAAAAGTCCCCTTTTGACTACGTCAGATGCAGAGACACGGACCCAGGTTACAAATATCATTTCTCCAGCCTCCATTATGCAACACAAACCGGCATCGGCAAATGTGTTACGCATTAGCACCCAAGGGTGTGAGTATTTAAGCGTGATGGATGCGAAGAATAAATAATGTCCCGCCTTTTGACAAACCATTCCCGGATTAAGGTCCGCACACTCGGCGATGGGGGTTGTTTGACCATACTTCACCATCCTGGTCAGTGTAGATGCTGAAAGGGTGCGGGGACCGGGGTTGGAAGGACCAGTTCAAATATTGTTCGCCACTGATGTTAGCCGGGCGGCGGTGACACACTCCTGTGATCCAGTATCGCTTGGTGGAGGATCACACAAACAACGTTGCGAAACTCGCTACCCTGTGGGCGTCCAGGTGCCATATCTTGGCCTACCAGGAGGTACGGCGAGTGTGAACTAGTCCCCATCTGCTCCATCTGTTACCCCCTTGTCGGAGTGGGTTTGCACCGAGTGCTCTGGCCTCCTCCCACATTCGTGGAGTTGGCCAAATGTCCCAATCTAGGTCCGCAGAGCTCGGGCAATTGTTGCCACCAATTCTGGACGCCTTCCCGCTCATCCTGTGGTTGCCCGTGCCTCTGAACCGACCAAAACTGTGCACGTACACAAATTTGTTACTCGGGTCACCGGGGGTTCGTAACGCAATACGCAGACCACTGTGCCACTGCTAACCCCCCCCCCTGCCCTTACCATGATATACTGCATGGACATAATACATGTATGTTCTGCATAGGGATTCAACATATAATTGATGAGCCTCGTGTCATAGCTCATATCAAATGCAGTTTTCTGAGCTGTGTATGGTATAGCATGTGATCAATCACCTTGGCTAATTTTACACCACAGCGAGGACATCTGCAGATGCCCGCACTTACAATTTGTTCCAGCCGTCTGTTACTACAATTCGATGTCTCTTTAAACCGCTGGGGGGGGGGGGGGGAGGTTAAGATGAACGAAGAAAACCCGGCAAGCTCTTGTATCATCTCAGGATGATCCATGATGCACAGCTGTTGGTGCTTTATACTATCCATGGTGCACAGCTGTTGATGCTTTATACTATCAAGGAAACGGCTTTGGCAAGTCAAGTTCTGGCCAGGTGGGCTTTGACCGTCAGGGGCCGGGTCTCAATTTCTCAAAGCCACCGCTACCACCAGGCGCTCGGCAGCCTCTGATGATTTCACAACGTCGCCGTCTTCAGTGGCGACGTTGTTGCTTTTGCTATGCCGACGGAAAAGCTCGGATAGATCTCACACTACCCGCAGTTTGTTGCAATGAGAATGGGCGCCGTCGTTTATTTGAATCGCTGCCAGTGACTTGTGTTGTGGACGTGTCACAGTTTTCTTTGGCAGCGTACAATGGCATAGACAACTAAAGTGTCTCTCTCAGCTCAGTAATTAATGGGATGGCCCTAATCTGCATTTGCATCTCCGAGCCAGTAGTGAACATTCCACAGTCGGAAGACAAAAACCATAAAACAAAGTGGCCCTCATTTTATCAACTTCCTAGAGAGGATTCAGTTGAGCCCTGATGAGGATTTAAACTTGTGTGCTTCTGAGTGCGTGTCATTTCCTCCAACCACAGTGCCACCTAATCTGTATTCTTCACTACAGTTCCCTTTGTTGCTTCGAATAACTCATGAGGTGTCAGAAAATCCTCAACACTTTTGCCTCTCTATCGCCACTCATCTTTTTGGTTCTTTCGGTAAAGTCACGTAGAAGGGAAATAATAAAATAATAAGAACAGGGCTATCGGAAAGACAGCGTCCTTCACCTGAGGACGGCTGTTTGCGTTGTGGCCGAAACGTCTTGAGAATTTTATTTTATTGTATTGTTTTATTTTTATTATTTTATTATTTCCCTTCTACGTGACTTCGCCGAAAGAACCAAGAAGATGAATTCCTGCAGTCACAAAAGCATTGAATCGAAATAAAAGCTACTCATCTTGTTCAATCATTGTTGAGCAGGAGGAGGCAACCAACTTGGCTGTACTTAAGAACTTGAACACCAGATTTATTCACGGGTGTTGAAAAACCTGGATTCAAACCGAGGGGTGCTTACCAGTGGCAGCTCGCTCAGTGCCCGAACACAGCTTTAGCCCGCTGAGCCACCCGGCCACCTATTGCTAAAAGGCCATCAAGTGACATCAGCTCGTGCGCAGGCGCTATGGGTGCACATCTAACATCGGGGCAGCGAGAGAGACGGCAACAGCTTGGGGAGGCCTTCGTCCGGCAGTGGATTAATCACGGCAGACGGTGTATGCTGATGACGATGATGCCGTATGTATTTACGTACATTCAACTTCATTCGCCACCGTACGTAGCCAAGCGTGCAAATCGGATGCGCGGCGATGATGTTGGTCATGGTGACAACCACGATGATGACGGCGATGGCAACCCACGCGCACGTGCGCGCGCGCTCGCCACTGACACCCACCTCGGACCACGCCGAGATGAGCCACTGCAGGTGAGGCTCCCTGCGGCAGCGGCGCAGCATGCAGAACTCGCGGTGCGCGGGCTTCCCGCGCGCGTCGCAGCGCTCGTCCGCCAGCGGCAGCGAGCGGCCCCCGCGGCCCGAGCTGCGGCACTGAACGGCGCGTGTCCTCACGCCGCGTCCACACGGCTTGGAACACTGGCGGCGGCGGTGACGGTGACGGGAAAAAAGTGGCGGTGCAACGCGACGCTGATGAGGACCAACCGTGGTGGAGCAAGGAACGCCAACCGTGCCGATCGGAGGCGTGGTTGTGGTTTCCATTGCATGAATGTAAATCGCATGAGATGTACGGTACACGTACAATGTCGTTACGTGTTTGCTATGCGTGTGGCAGTTGACACCCTGAACATCTTTGCAAAGCAAGGTGTTCCATATCAAGGGATTTGTCCAGGTGAAATATTTTTTTTATAAATAATATAAAGTTAATGCGGCGACTGCAAAACATTCGAGCAGCGATTTCAAAAATCATGGGGTTTTGTTTACATCACAATTTTTGAGCACAGCAGGTCCAAATGTCCAAAAATGTTCAGCAACAAACGGCACTCTTAAAGTTGAAATAGATGACAGTCAACATTTTTCTTGAATTGAGCAAGGTTGTGAGACGTTCGGAAAAAAGACGATGGGAGGGAATCCCAGATGTGAAGCACAGCGAGGGAAGAAGCGAGTGGGTTAATGAGTGAGTGAGTGAATTTGTGAGTGTGCGAGTTGGTAGGTAAGTGGTTGTGCGTTGTTGTGACCTGCAACGCGGGGGTTAAACACTGTGGATGAGGTGAAACGGTCAGTCTGGTAAATCAAATCCTCAACGTGGGTGGATGAATCAAACAGTCACGTTCATGGGAATAGTAACCGTGGTAGTAGTGATATAAGAGTAATCGGGAGGTAACTGACCCCAGTGAGTGAACTGAAATAGAGGCTATGGCACCACACCAGATGGTAAATGTTCAGATTAAAGTACCTTGTGTGTGTGCGGGTTTTTTTTCAAAGGATTGCTAACTTTCATCGCAATAAATTACCCGTCATCTTTAACACATGTTTAAAACATAGTGGGGTTGTTTTTGTGTGTGTGTGTGTTTGAACTGAAAAAAATTTGACGAATCTGGGAAAATTAAGAGAAATGTGGAGCAAAGCCAAAAGCACCCTCGCAACATCTTCCACGAAAAATTATGATTTAAAGCTTTCGTGACTGCAGGGATTCATATTCTTGGTTCTTTCGGTAAAGTTACGTAGAAGGGAAATATTAAAATAATATAAATATAAAACAATTGCTTGTGTTGCAGTCGAAACGTCGTGAGAATTTTAGATAATTTTATTATTATTTCCCTTCTACGTGACTTTTACTGAAAGAACCAAGAATATGTATCTTCCATGAATACGAGCGAGCGAGAGTTGCAGACTTGCGCAACCGACCTGAGACCAGGACCCCATGACCCAGGCCGGGGGACAGTCCTGTGGGTTGCAGGCTCGCGTCTTGGCGGGCGCTGGCGCGGGGCACGCCGAGTCATCGGCGGGGAGAGTTCCCGATGGCCCGGCACGGACGCAAGCAACGGCGCGCGTCTGTTGACCTCCCCCGCACTTCACGCTGCACGCGCTCCACTCTCCTGCAGACCAGCTGCTCCACACACGCACAGGCGAGAGCTCGTTTTACACGGGAGAGCACAGAGACGCCAACACCACCAGCGTCACCAGCAACAAAACTAAGACGAAATAACATCGATATTGTGGAGAACGAGTACAGGGTCCTGAAGGAATATTGCACAAATACCAAATGCAATGTGTAACGGTCGTAAGTGAAAAAAGACGAGAAAAAAATAATTGAAAACTGTGCAAATATAATGTGAGACAAATATACGCCGGAAAATGTAGTTTTATGTGGAAGCAAGCTCTATATTGTTTTGCTTAACAGTGATGTAAACACACGTGAATCGAAAAAGACAGTGCAAACGCAAGAGGCGACAGAAAAGCATTGACCCTCGACAAGTGAGGAGCAGCCAATGATTAAAGCAGCGCGCACATCAAGAGATGTACTCCACAGGTCCAAACATCTACTCAGGGGCTTTTGAGAGTTGACTATAAGTACTATTTCAGTCCAACGTTAATATGATGAAAATTGTTGTTAATTTCCTCCGTCATCCCCATGGCTCACGTTTGCAGGGTCCCGGATTAAGATGTTTGGCCAATTGATTTTTGGAGAATGTTTTGTAAGCGGGAATAGACTGGAGTACCTGGGGAAACCGATGCGTATGTGGGGATAAGGCGTCCACACAGTATCAATCCACGGCTGTGGAAATCGGTTTCCGCGTGGCTCTCAGCTGGTAAAGGATACGAGGGGAGTCCAGCATAGGATGTGGCATGGCTAAAGCAAAATTAGAAAGTGGGCCTGAAAGTCGTACTATGGTGACTTTGAAACTTCAGACTCACGCCAGATACTTATATAGCCGAGCTATGTATCATCATCATCATCATTAACAACAGCTGCAGCGGCTGCAGCAGCAATGTTCAATCGACTGCTGGATGAAGGCCTCCCCAAGCCATCGCAGCACCCATGACCGACGCAGGAATGTATATAGAAGCAAAACCCCTGTTTGTCTAATTTGTGATGCTTCTTAGTTGAATTGTTTAGTGGGCCAGACAACAGGGCTTTAGACAAAATTAATGCCAGAAAGAGGCGTTGCAAAATTTAGTCAGGTGCCATTGCGCTCAACACTGACGTACGGCAGAGCCCCATTGGCTGCCCGGAACCAGCAGGGGAACCAATAGAAAGCTGGTGTCTCCAGAGGATAACCACTGCTGACATCGGGGCAGCAGTACGCGTGCCACCCATTACACCAAACACGCAGGGGTTGATAGGTTGACTCGATAACGATTTAAAATTGACGACATGGACCACAATGCCACCTGGCCAGACGGAAGACGCAAGACTGAATGAGGCAAAGCACCGCCCCTGTTAACTTTGCTCATGAGTCGCCGCTTACATGATCCACAGGTGAGATCTGTATCATAAAAAATATATTTTTATTTTTACCAGGTAAGGCCCACTGGGCTGTATAGCTCTTTTCCAGAAGAGACCTGGCCATAAATGAAGTGGCTTATCACGTGGAAATGTATAGTAGCCAAATGCTCTCAACGCATGTTTTTAAGTTGTTTAGGGAAAAACCGGTGGGACCCGGATAAACATCCACGTGACCACGGGGAGAACATTCAAACTCCAAATATACGGCAGGTGTCAGAGTGGGGATCGAACCCATGAACTACTGTATACCAGGGCAAGGTAGTTAACATCTCGCCACCGTGGCAGGTTCACCAGTTCTGCATCCTCACCTGGCAGGGCATGGGTTGTGGTTGCAGGTGTGCGTGGTCGTGGCCGGCTTCTGCCTGGCGTCGCAGAACGAGCCGTTGACCTGCGTCCGTCGGTCTCGTAGGCACACGCCACGCGTCTGCAGCTGCCCTGCGCGCGTGCGAGACGGGGTGGGGGCAGGCAGGAAACGCGTGTCAAAAGTGGTGCGCGCGAAAGATGAGTGGGGGAGCAGTGGTGCACACCAGAAGTGTTCCGTGCTGCAAACCCAGCAGCTCGGGATCAATTCCCAACACACCGATGGCAAACGCTGTCCGAGCTTTCCCTTTGCTCAGCTTAGCGTGACCGAGCCTCTTCTTTGTTCCAATTATGCTCCAATTGTGTGATTGGCATCGTTTAATGAGACAAACAAACCACGCTGAACTCGCTCTCGTGTTAAAGAAGGGCCCGCAGAAGGAGATATCACGAAACTAATTCTGAGAAAATCTTAAAGTGGCCTCTTGCACCACACGAGGGGCGGTGCTGCACTTTCCCGCCTGATCTACTCTGGATAATTGTTCATTGCATGGCAGTTAAATAGATTATTGTAATTCTAAAAACTGGAGTGTTGCCAAACTAAGTGAAAGAGCCAATTAAATTGAATAGATTCGTTTTATGCAGTCATTGGTGACGGAGCTGAGACCATCAACGAACTAGAATAGAGAGCCCTGGTGGATTCCCAAATTCAAACCCAGGATCTCAGTGCCATTGATGGCTGAACCACCCAGGCACGTCATTCAACTTAGTCTTTAAAGAGCGCCCGGTGCACTGAGTAAACATCAGCACTGGGGAGATAAATGCTGCCAGTCGTGTGTAAATACCACCACACCATTGCTCGGTGCTCAAGGGCACCGCACCGGCCTCAAATAGGCGCTCACACACATCACGCGTCCCTGCAGTATTCAAGGGCGAACTCGGGATATTTGCCTCTGTATTGGAATAGGGCTTCAAGCCCTACCTACACGCTTATCGCACAAAGTCCCGCAAGCTAACAGAGAACAGTCGCGGGTAAATGTTTGCCGCAACTATTATTAAAGTTTTTTTTTACTTTTAACCACTGACCCCATGCCCGGTGTCCCAATGGGCGTGGGAACCTGAGCACGAAAACAAAAAAGAGCAGAAAATAGACGAAGGCTCTTTGTGCTGCCCTGACAGAGGACACGTCATCGGCGCTGCACATTAAAGCCTTTCCAGAGCATCCCTTCTTCCCACGGCGTTATTCATATTTGTTCTCGCTCTAAAGGACAATTAGCGACAAAGCCCTGATAAACATGACATCATCTGTGAATGGAAACGGCGCCCCCCAATCCAATCCACCACTTTGGGTCACTCGCCCCTTACTCCCCAGATGGGCAAGAAAATGAGCCGGGCTCACGAATTAATTAGGGGGGGGGGGGGGGCATCAACGACCGGCGATCCGAGTTTCGCGAGCGTGTGTCGCCGAGCTCCGACAAGAGTGGATGCGATGAAAAGTTCCGGTAATTCTGACTGAGTGTCTTCCTCCCCCCCACCCTCCACCAATGAGTAATGTCATATTGCTGGACAGCAGGTGTTTTCCTGCTGAAGTGCGCATCGCACGAGCAATCGTCTCGGTCCGTGGCCCTGAGCTCACGGTGAAAATGTTAAAATTGAGATGGCGGGGGCGAGTCGCTCCGATGAGTACGGTTGTCTACGTACGATGCGAAAGAAGTTCAACATTCAAACGTAAAATAACTACTGTTGAGCTGCAGAAAATAGGTACTCATTTAATCTAGCCTCAACGGCTGATGGGCTTTGTCAACTGGTGACCAGGATTAGCCTCAGTGCCAGTCAGGCAAAGCCTAGTATAGAGATAGTGAATGCATTAACATGCATCGCATGGGTGAATATACATTCTATTTACGTCATCTGATATTTAATATGGCAGGGCCCCGTATTTAAAACAATCTATGAAGTTGTATCTGCACCTGCATGGCAAGGTTGTTTTAATGTGTGTCAAGGTCATGGCGACTGTACATCAAAGTGGGGCCTGATCCTGGCTAGGCCCAACACTTAGGAGGGAACAACTCAAAAATAAACAGACCCTGTAAATACACACTTCGAAATCACACCAAGATACTGTGACATCACCGCAGTGAAAATAATAATAAAACGTGCAGCGGTCACAATGCAAGCAACTATCAGCACTCCCGATGGTTACTTTAACGCCTATTTTCTGATGAATGATGCTTGAAACTCTTGCCAGACAGCGCAGGGGGTATGAATATTGGCTGCCCAAATGTTTGTTCCCAACCAACCAATATTTGTTCCTCCCTACTCAGATGTACCCTCAGGGTAGGGTCAAGAGGTCGTGGTTAGGCGCTACTTTGGTGAGAGGACGGTCAGCGCGCTGCGCTACAAACTCAGTGACCCCAGTTCGATTCCTGCTCACGGCCAACACGTATGACGAGCATCTGAACCGGTCACGGACCTCCCGTGGGTTGACTCAACCTCAAATTAGTACTGCGTATGGAATATAAACATCGCCACTGGGGAGACAAAGGCGGTCGGGCGTGGTGCTGGCCACCCACCCCCTCGTGTACCGTTCCGACCTTCATAGGTGCTCGCTAATAGCACTTGCCCCTACAGTCTGTTAAGGCTATATGGGGGATCTGTGTTGTGTGTGCGGTGTCCATGTGCTCCCGTGTTTCCGCCTGCGGCCTGCACCTCCGCCGCACGTAGCCGAACATTCGGAGCGCGACAGGGCCCACGCGTGGCTGTGCTTGCGGCCACTCGGCTTGCCGGCAGCGCCGGGCCCATCCGAGTCCTTGGGCAGCGTGTACTCCCAGCCGATGCCAGGATTCCGGCCTTGGATAAGTACCTGCGGTGAGGATGATCATCAACATCACCACCATCATCATCATTAGTGGTGGTGGCTTCACATCAGTGGCCATGTCACAATACTGAATTTTTTTGTCAATGCTGACCTCAATAAATCTTTGTTTTACATGCCAATATCGTCCGTCAATAAAGTTAGGCATCGGTGCACATTTCAGCGGAACGGGAACGGCACATGGGGCATCGAGCAACAGGGATTGGAAACAGAAACCTGTCACGCCCTCAGCGGCTGTGACCGACCTTGCAAACCGCGTACACCACCCTCCCTCGTCCACACTCCGCTCTTTCCAAAAAGCGGTGCTTTTTTACGTAGCCCCGCCGTATCTCCGGGCGACAGCACGGGCCCGCACCTCAAACACCAGCGTCTGGTTGGTGGGTCCCGGCGAACTCAGGCTCTCCGGTCGGTTGTACGGCCGCTTGTAGTCGAAGGTGGCGCCGGCGAAACGCAGCCGCCCGGGCCACGTGGCGATGCGCGCGCCATTGAGGTAGTAGCCAGACGACGACGAGGAGGTAGAGGAGATGGGGGGACCCTGGTGTCTGGGGCTGGCCGTCCGCACGGCGAGCAGGCTACTCGAGATGCTGAGCTCGAAGACGCGGATCCACCGCGCACCGGGAGGGACGACGACCACCGTGTGGTACTCTGGTGGCAAAGCAAGACGAAACGATTGCCCGTTAAGGTTGCAACAGACTGCTGGGGCAAGTGTTGTTAGTGAGCAGCTATGAAGGCCGGCACGGCACACGAGGAGGGTGGGTGGCCAGCACCACGCCCGGCCGTCTTTGTCTCCCGAGTGGCGATGTTTACACACTGCACCAGCGACTCCTTTGAGACCTAGTCGACTTAGGGTAAGCCCAGGACCTGTACAGATAATCGTCATTGGTGTCGACCATGAGCGAGGATCAAACCCGGGTTGCCGGGTCCGTAGCGCAGCGCGCTAACTGCCACACTACTGGTGGCACACACGTAGAGCAAAGCCTCCGCAAGCATTTCATTCAAGGGAGTTCTTTGACCATACTTCATCAGCACCAATGATCGCCCACAGCAATTAGGATTACACACGGAAACATCTCCCACCTGGGCGCGACAACTCGGCACCGTTATCGGTGGAGCCGTCGTGGGGTGCGGTGGGGGGTGGGGGTGGGCCTCACCGTCCGCGTGGTGCTGGGCCGTGTAGTGCCCTCGGAACACCTGGCACGAGGAGTTGTCCCCGTTACAGACGCCGCACGCGTCCAGCGTAGCCCCCGAGCCCAGGGTCTGGTCGCAGCCGACCTCCTGCGCCGAGGGCAACGCCGGGTTGGGGGTTACGGTGATTCGCAGTGGTGGCAGTGTGGAACGGCGATGGGATTGAGAGCGAGGATGCTCTCCCTTCCGATATAAGGAAAGCCACTGGGAGCTATGCGATTTGAAATAATCTAAGTTGAAACACTCATGTCTTTAGAACTGTTTTTTTGTGTTTAGTTTGTTATCCTTCCCCCCGCACCTGCGATTAGCACGGTTGGCTTCGTACGGTGCGAAAGAAGTTCAACATCCATACGTAGCTAATCGTGCAAATCGGACGTGCAGGGTAAGGCCAACAAACTAAGCACGACAAGCAGTTCTCAAGAAATAAGTTTTACAATCGAGAGCTAAAAGTGCTTAGCTCCAGTGGCTTCCTAATATCGGTAGGAAGAGCGTTCCAGATGATAGCAAACGTGTAATGATGATGATGGCATTGAAAATTATGACGATGGTGACATTGCTGATTTATGATGAGGACTTTAACAATTATGATGATGGCATTGATATGTGTATAATGATGATGATGATAACATTGAGAATGATGACAGCATTGAGGTGTACCACAATGGTGGTGGCGAGTATGACTGCAATGATTGGCCTCTCACCTCGCACACTCCATCCACGCAGATGTCAGTGCTGCCCTCCGCGCAGGGCGTGCCATCCTTCACCTTGCTCGCCAGCGCAAAGAAGAAGTCAAAGTCCTCTGCCATGCAGTACAGCTTGCAGATGTCCTGCTCTACACACACATGCACGCACACGCGTGAGCCACGCCCATCCAGGGGGCACGCGCGGCGGCATTACACAGTCAGGGGTCAATCGACGCATCACTGGGTGCCCTCTGTTGTAGGCATGCAAGGAGAAGGTCAAAGTGCTTCGTGGCTCAACGTACATGTCACGATCATTGAAGCTCTTCCCAGGATAGCAAAATTATGCAAAGGCAATTTTTAAAAAAAACCTCTACGACAACCACATGAAGCGCATTGCGCACCCATGATGCCAACGCTTCACGCAGCTGGTTACGTTTTGGACAACGCTGAACTGTAATAGAACAAGACTCAGAGTGTGTCCAGGCTCAAACAAGCATGAGGTGGTGCTCATCTCTCTTTACATATTCTCTGAGCCCGTGGTGGAAAGTACGTTTGTGTGTGTGTGTGTTGAACATCTTTCACATCATACATAGCCAACCGTACTAATTGTAGGAGCGGGGGAGGGGGAAATGACAACCAACTCAACACAAAAAGCAGTTCTAAAGAAATTACTTTTCAATTTATATTTAAAAGTGCATAGCTCCAGTGGCTTCCTAATATCGGAAGGAAGAGCATTCCAGACGGCCGCAGAAACGCATCTCAAAGGGCGCGATGCAGTCACTGTCTTTGTTTGATGGCTCGCCAAAAGCCGCTGTGAGGATGACCACAGTTCGCGTGATGGTTTATGCTCCTGGACGAGAACAGCAAGGTAGTGTGGTTCATTTGTGGCAAGAACTTTGTGTGTGATGAGTGGGGACCAGTTCTATGCGTAGGATGCCAACGTTTTGTGGTACAGTGGTTAGTAATTTGCACTCTAAACCCATCCAACTGAGTTTGTTTCCAAACCACAGCGAACATCTTTGGCGAATAATATCTGAACGAGTCCTGGCCCCTTCCCATTCACAAAACCACTCTGCCCAGCGTGGAAAAGTATGGTGAAACGATCCCCATCATTGACAGTGTACGGATGCCTTCATCCAGCAGTCCATTTTAAAAGCCTGTAATTTACTATAACTGCCAATTTATATGACCCCATTTAGCTCTCCCCAACCAGGATTTGAACTGGTGCCTGCTTATCATTCATTGTGAGTGAGATGTTCTGTCAACAACGCCGTCTGTGGGTCAGAACACCGTCTGTGATCAGGGCGCCATGGTGACGAGATGTGAAGTACATCGCCAGGTAATTAGAAGGCTGTGGGTTTGATCCTGACTCAAACGCCTGTATATTTGGAGTTTGCATGCACTCTCTCTCCCTGTTTTCGCGTGGATTTGTCTCCAGGACCTCTGGTTTTACCCTTCCACATTTAGAATCAACATGCATTGTATAGTATTTGGCTGCTATACATTTCCACATTAACACGCCAATTCGTGGAGCTAGCATTTGTGATAACCAGGTCGCCTCGGAAAAAAAGCTATACAGCACAGTGGGCCTTACCTGGTAAAATAAAACATAAAATAGTTCATAGTTTATAGCCTGGCCACATTAATAGAACGCGAGAGGCGCCTCGAAAAGGACAATGAGACATCTTGCATCACCATCCACTTTGGTGTAGGGCTTCCACTTGTAGAGCCACCCGCGGAACGGCTTGCTGTTGTACTCGGCGCACTGCTGCGCCCGAAACCCCGGGCTGGACGTGGGGCACGTGTCCACGTTGCACATGCGGTACACCCTGCCCGGGCCCTCGCAATAACCTCCCCCGTACGCGGGTCTGCAAGCCAGCACCAACATTGACAGTGGACACGCGTGCACAGTGTACATACGTATGTATTGATTTAAAGCTTTCGCGACGGCAGGGATTCATATTCTTGGTTCTTTCGGTAAAGTCACGTAGAAGGGAAATTATAAAATAATACAAATATAAAACAATGAAATTATGTTCTTGGTTCTTTCGGTAAAGTCACGTAGAAGGGAAAAAATAACATAATAAAAATAAAACATAATAAAATGCAATATATTTTCTAATGTTTTATTTTTATTATTTTTATTATTTTATTATTTCCCTTCTACGTGACTTTACCGAAAGAACCAAGAAGATGAATCCCTGCAGTCACGAAAGCTTTAAATCTAAAAATAAAATGATGATTGCTTGTGTTGCAGTCGAAACGTCGTGATAAGTTTTTTATTGTTTTATATTTTTCTTATTTTATTATTTCCCTTCTACGTGACTTTACCGAAAGAACCAAAAATATATATATACGTCTGTATGTTCAACTTCTTTCGCATCGTACGTAGCTAGTCAGAGGTGCAGTGCACGCTTGGCTAAACACGTGCAAGTCAGTGCCGAGGTGCCCCCCGTTCTGCTCGAACAAAGATTAGACGGCGCTCAACCCCAATGGTGGTGGCTCTGAACTGGTGGTAAAAATTCCACATTCCTACGGCAGTGCCCGCTCATCAAAATAGGGCTTTAAATGTAGACTTCTTCCTGGTGATGCTCATGATATTGACTCTTGACCCGCAACCAGGATTTAAAATTGAGAACTTTCATTTGTGAGCCAAACACTCGAAGCGCAGAGCCAACGGTGGAATGAATGCTACGCATACAAAACGTACGAGTGCAATTCTTTTCTTTATTATTGTACGTATTGATTGACAACCTGTAATAGCTTCTTTTGTTTGGTTAATACATCTTTATCTGGAATAAAATGTCACTTTTGTCTCGAGACTCATCGGTGTCATGTCTGGGGATATTTAACGAGTGACCCATTAAAGTGTTGCCCTGCTAAGCGTTGGACCCTGGTAGCTCACTGCGGTGGTGGCTGTCACTCATAGCAAATAGTGCACAATATATAACTTCTCATCAATACACGGCCCCTATACCTTCACACAAAGTGTGCCAATTGAATGTGCAGCATTTGGAATAAGTTTAACGATAAACCATCAACATGTAATTACGTGGATATAGCAATCTGCTTTTGTAATTACGAGATTAACAACGAATTACGTATGCATCCACATTTACTATAAAGTGAGCATGTAATTGTGAGCTGTTACGTATATTTAGTGAATCTCAAAACATAAAACGGTGTAATTAGAACTTAATCACTCGCAGGGTTAATCTACATTTAGCTTTACAACCGTGCAAGAACATATTTAAATTTGGCATAAAAAAAACTAAATGGGCCCTATTCTACGTGATAGCAAGATTAAAACCTTCTGTAGAAATGGTGAACGTGAAGTGCCTTGCAGTACGGGACCATTCCATTTCATGGGGACAGAATGCTCAGGGCTCACCGCTCGACATTCCAGAATTCTTTAAGTGGCAGTTGGGGCCTGGCCTGCGCCAAGAGAAAGAACCGAAATATAATGACTATTTACTTTGAGATAACATTACCAGTAATATGGAGTAATGTATTTGTACATGTCTTAAATTTCCTACTGGATGTCCCAGACTTGGTGCCCAGATCAAATATGAAATAATGCGACCACTGCGCCCGCTAATTTTTGTATGAGCGCCGAGTCCTGAAGGATGCCGGTGCGTCGTGCAGACTACGTTAGCTGCATGGAAAATGTTCCGCCTGCAGTGGTTTGTATATTATAGTTAAGAAGATTAGCCTAATTCTAATACGCTCCGCTTGGTCTTACAATGATCGTAGACAGATAATAAACATGGATCATGTCCAATTATTGTATTTATCCAGCGTGTCTGTGTGTTAAATATGTAGATAATTATGTTCTCTATACACGTTCAAAAACGTAAAGTGGATGTGTATGTGCCATTGTATCTTGCATGTGAGAGACGTAACGTAGCGGTTAGCGCTCTGTGCTTCGGACCCAACGACCCGAGTTTGATTACCACTCACGGCCAACACCAGTGACTATTATCTGAACCGGTCCTGGGCCTCCAATGGGTCGACTAAGCCTCAAATGAGTGCGGTGTGTAAACATCGCCAGGAGAGAGACAAAGGCGGCCAGGCATGGCACTGGCCACTCACCCCTTTCTGCGCTTCATAGGTGGCTCACGAACAGTACTTGCACCAACAGTATGTTAAGGCTAAACGGGGGATCTTTGTCTTTTTACACACGCCATGGTGTCAAGATGTTAACTACCTCGCCTGGCGTACAGTTTGCAATCCCGACCATGGCGCCTGTATATTTTTTGAGTTTCCGTGTCCCTGTCCCCGTGGTCGCGTGGATTTTTCTCTGGGTCCTCCGGTTTTCCCCCTCCACATTTAGAATCAACACGCACTTTAGCGTATTTGGCTGATGTACATTTCCACACGAATGATAAGCCACTTCGTTGAGCTATCATTTGTGATAACCAGGTCGCCAGTTTTCCCCGCACCTCCGATTAGCACGGTTATCTACGTACGGTGCGAAAGAATTTCAACGTGTAACCTGTAAAAAGTGGGGTGGAAGATGGCAAGCTTTCACGTGCCCCACTCTGTTCAGTGAGCAATCATCAACGCGGTGACCGAACATCGATCATCGCATCTCCCGGTCTCCAGAACAACAACAACAACAACCACGGGCGAAATTGCAGCCGTCGCTCTGCATCTACATCAGCCGTGCACAACAGAAGAATAAGAAAACTAAAAATGTGTTATATAGCTCAGTGGTGGGATGTGAACGACCTCACCTGGAATACAGGAGGTCGTGGGTTTGATCCAAACCATGATGCCTGTATATTTGGAGTTTGCATGGTCTCCCTGTGGTCATTTGCACTTTTCTCCGGTGTTTCCCTCCAATTTTTAGAAACGAGGGTTTTAGAATATTTGGCTGCTAAAAATTTGCACCTGATAAGCCCCTTTCTTTGAGCTATCATTTGTGGCCAGGTCGCTTCGTAAAAAGAGCTATATAGCTAAGTGGGCCTCCCTTACCTGGTGGAGAGGGGGGAGGGTTTGAAAAAAAAAATTGACCAGTTTTTTTTACTTTACATTATGAGCAGGATGGGTGGTGGTGCGGGGGGGGCCTCCTCTCACCGCGGGTCGCTGCAGACGCGCTCGCGACGCGTCACCCCGCCGCCGCACGTGCGGGAGCACTCGCTCCAGCCGGCCCACGGAGCCCAGTTCCCCGGCACCGCGCGGGGTCCCTCCTCTCCGTGCCGTACACATTCGCCGCGACGGCACCACTGAGCCACGCGACACCACCGCACAGCACAACGGGGGCACAGCAGGGTCAGAGGCGCAGCCCTTGCAAGGTCGCTGCGAGGTGAAGGGGTCTCCGCTAGAGGGAGCACGAGAGAGAGCACGCTCTTAAGAGGGTGTTTTGGCCTATCTTCTTGGTTCTTTCGGTAAAGTCACGTAGAATGTAAATAATAAAATAATAAAAATATAACATAATTTAATAATTTTCACGACGTTTCGGCTACAACGCACGCAACCGTCCTCAGGTGGAGAGCAGGTCTGTCGAGTAGACAGAGTCTGACAGAGTCATTCAGACTGTCTACTCGACAGACCTGCTCTCCACCTGAGGAGGACGGCTGCTTGCGTTGGGGCCGAAACGTCGTGAGAATTATTTTATTATGTTTTTTATTTTATTATTTCCATTCTACGTGACTTTACCGAAAGAACCAAGAAGATGGATCCCTGCAGTCACGAAAATGTTTTGGCCTACTCTTCCACGCTGACCAGGTGGCTTGGAATAGGTGGGATTGCCCGCACTTAACCCAATCACACGCGACATGGTGAGCGATAATAATTACCTGTGGTGTACACATTTACGTCCCGAGGTGGACAGTGTATGAGCCATTCACCATGGCTATTATCCCCCCCACCCCCAGTCAAGGCATCTCCCCATTTAAACATGCAAATTGCCATCACTCGCCTCCAATAAGCCAGTAAAACTAAATCGAAATGTCCATCGCAAGAGGGTGGGGTCAGTCTCTCTCTGACCACCGCTGGTATGTGCGCAAAGCGGCGCCTGATCTATTAACGCCAGACTTTTAGCAGCTGCCCCAAGTCAGCATCCTGTGGATGTACTGCACGTGGAAGGATTCTCGCCGGGCTCCCACGTCGTTGCGGGGATATCTGTGATGCTGTGCGAAGTAAACATTTAAAGCTTTCGCGACTGCAGGGATTCATCTTCTTGGTTCTTTCGGTAAAGTCACGTAGAAGGTAAATAATAAAATAAAAAAAATAAAACTTAATAAATAAAAATTCTCACGACGTTTCGGCCACAACGCAAGCAGCCGTCCTCAGGTGAAGCAGCAGAGCTGTCGGAAAGACAGCGTCCCAATGAACACCGACAGCTCTGCTTCTTCACCTGAGGACGGCTGCTTGTGTTGTGGCCGAAACGTCGTGAGAATTTTATTTTATTATGTTTTATTTTCATTATTATTTTATTTCCCTTCTACGTGACTTTACCAAAAGAACCAAGAAGATGATTCCCCCGTTCATTTAACGACTGGCGAATGGCTTGCAAGCGGTGACATAGCGTGCGTGGCGTGGGCCATGGTGTGAGACATTATCAGAATGATATTATTTATTATACTGGAAGAATCCGATGAGCTGTAAAGCTCTTTTTCACAGATGTCCATTAGTTAATTGAGCTCCCCCCCCCCTCCCTCCCATCTTCGATGTAAACAATTAAGAATAATCATCTCCTGTCACGAGGCCCAGCTCCAGCTTCTGACAGATGGAGGAGGTGCCGGGGAGAGCCGTGGTGGTTACCGCCACTGAGAGGAGTAAACACGACCGGGCCCAATTGGACATTCGGTGATATGGGGGCCCACCCCCATCACCGCCCACACGCCACCACCACTGTTCGTCGCCGTGCATTGCTTTGGCAATGACGCGCGTACATAAAGCCTCGCTTGTTGTGACGTTTGAATAATTATTGTCGAGTTTTCTCTAATCGCTCTTCTCATGATTCCCTTTAGGGTTGTGCAGAGGTATGTGCATTCAGTGGTTTGTTTGGCACTTTCATCCCTTTTGGCGTCTCTATTTTTAATCGTGATATTTGTGGCCTCTGATAGCTTTTTTCTCTGTATGCTTTTCTTTTGTGCTTTCCACCCCATGTTCAGGGCACTGGCTTTAAAGTGGTCGCATCCAGGGTTCCTGTGACATCACGGCCGAGTGAGCAGCTCCAAACGGAGCGCTCCTATCTCAACTTAAACTAATAGACCCCTTTCAACCGGGTTTCTTACTTATAACTCATTTAAAGGTTTTGTTTCTCTCCCCCAACCTTGAAAACACGAAAGACTCGAATAGACGAACCTCCCCGCCCGAAGCCATCGGAAACCATCTCCAAGCCCCTATGGCCTCGTGTCTGGGACACACGAACCGAACCTGACCCCGTGGCAAGGCCAGGTGAATCCCTTCACATACCCCCCGAACACGATGGAAAGTGGTCACATCCATGTCAACGTTGTGCCTCTTCTTGAGTTTGAATCTGTTGCTTCGTATGAATTCCTAAACCTCCTGCACGAGACTTTAGATGTTAACCACCTTGTGTTGGCAGCTCTGTGCAGTCTTCTTCCAACTATGATGAAATGTGTCTTGCATTGCACCAGCCTGTGATCAATGCCAGCGGCGCTACATTTTTAGAGGGCGTCTTTGATCATCTCGGACTCATCTGTGAGAAATCAAGTCAACTTCATGCTTCATTTCTCCATATAGGCCCTTCCATATCCATTTTCTAGACTTCTTATTGAGAGAAAAAAGTGTTTATGATGGTCATGACACATACGTTCTGGCCTCTCACGTCCCAAAGCAAGAGTCACATTTACCATTCATACCATGTATCAAATGTACCATTCACACCATCTCCGCTACCTTTGCCTACCATTGTGTTCATCGCCCATCCTGATGTTGGAATCTGTTTTTGTGCTCGTTAAGAAGTCATAATTGACGTATACAATTGTTCTAGGACTACATCATCAGGCCTTGTTGGAGTATATGTTTGAATACTCTTGGGATGGCAGAATTAGACAGTGGTAACAAGTGCTCCTCGTCAAGAAGGCCCTGGCTTTCATTCCCTTTCTGTATAGATTCATACATTATCCCTCTTGTTCTGTATTGGTTTCCTCTGGGATATTTCTTTTTTACTAACATAGCTAAAATGAAGTTCAATTTAACTGATGCTGCCAAAACATCCCAATCATGATTTAAAAAATACGTGCAAATTACTCAAATTGGATTTCACACAGCAGCTACATTGCTCTCCTCCTGAGAAAAAACATTGCAGGATCCTCCTGAAAGATAGTCTTGAGACTCAGTGAAGCTTCCCTGGGTAAACAAACATCATAATAATTATACATCTTTAATTTGCGGTGGTTTGCGTGCCTTAACGTTAGCTGGAGTAACTTTTTCCTTAATATGAACATGAATCCTAACATTTGCTTTGATCCCCAGACAGCCTAAGGATTCCCCTTGATAATTTATTGATTTGTAATTACTTATAACAGTAAGTTGGCTACAATTTGCTCGACATATTAAGTTTGTAAAAACATAACCGTAAATTAATACATCATTGTAAAATTAGTAACTTGCATCCCTATTATCTCACAAGAGTATTAATATTAACTCTGTACTCAAATGACAGACAGTCATAATGTTGAGAAAGATGTAAAAGCCACTCTGACCTAATGTTAGCATAATTTTGGCCCCATAAGAACGCACTAATTACGTCGTATAATATGATTGTTTATTGATGTTAGCAATTCATTTATTGAAAAATAATGTGCATGAGCCTGTGTATTTTCTTAACATCCCATTTTGAAAACCTTTTTGGCAAACCCTCACGTAGTATATAGATACACAATGTATAGCAGGAGGGAGAAGTTTTTTTTTGTATACACTAAAGAACGTGCAATACTACTCCAGTTTATATTATCGTCTGCTGATTGTTAGTGATCTGCATGGTGGTGTCGGAATCCAGATGTCGATGGTCTAACGTCAGATTGCTTTTATTTTGAGCACATTTGAGATCGCTTGCTTCATTCACTGTGGCACCAAACCTCCACTTTACACACATTCCACAGGAACGTTTGCCAAAATGTAACTGCAACAAAAATAAACGGGCCGGGAAAATACTCTCCCGTTACCGCGTTTGTCGCTGCAATATTTAGCCGAAGGTTTCCTGGTCCCGATTCTGTGCAACATTCGCATTAAAAAATGTTGATTTTGGTGGAAAGCAAAGGGCAGGAGAGAATAAACAAACCCAACTTTGAAGCTAAAGGTTAAAATAAACACGCCATATTTGAAATTATGAAATTCATCAAAAAGTAAATGCTCAACCGTTTAAAGTTTATCGCCGCTGAGGATTATTTTTTAAAATTTTCCCCACTTTGTAATAAAGTTTATTTAAATGACCGTTGCCAAAAGGAACACTCGGAAAGTTAAACTGCTTTCCCTGCAATGAATTAACCTGGAAACCGAAAACAATAATCACGTGCATTTGTGAAAAGTCTGCCTCTTAAGCTTTATTTGTAAAAGCTGCTGAGCATCAAGATTCTAAAAGCCAGGTGGACAAATTAATAAACCCATCCACGACTAGTATTCAATGTGTGAAGGTGCAGTGCATTGCCATATTGATTATATTTCTCATTACTTATTCAATTTGTACTTCCTAATTTCGCATTACTTAATCTCTCAATATAATTCACTTCAATTCAGCGTCAATGCCAGTGTCTCCATGCTCAAGAGAGCAATGAGTATTATATATTTCCATTGATAGTCTAAAGCCAGCGTTTGAAATTCCACATTTTCATGGCAGTGTAGTTTCTTTCCACAGGATAACCACTATGGACTTACTATAAAGCTCTGTAGTAAAACTCCTCTTATTCGTGGCCCGATTACCAATGATGCCTACTGTCCACTAAACGTGTAGGGTCTGCAAAACACCCATTATCCGCACCACGTTTTATTATCTGTGATTATCCGTTATTTATTTTTTTGTTTGCTGATAAGTGGAGTACATTCACAGATAAAATTGCGGCATCACAGGATCTGGGATGCTGAAATTGGGCTCTAACTGGGACTTAAACCCAGGAATTTCCAATTGTAAGTGCTCGAACTACAGTGCCACTCAACTGGTTGCGAATGCAATAGCAACTGAAAGTACACCGCACAGGACGGTGACTACTTTGTATAAGATGACCAGGCCATGGCCGAGCAGCTCGGGTTTGCCACTGTCCTGCTTTGCCCAGGACTGGCCTCTTTTTGTGGTAACTGTCCTGGAAATTATCGAAGTCTTCGTAGGACAATCTTGATTTGAAGCTTTGTTGACTGCAGGAATCCATACTCTTTGGCTCTTTCGGTAAAGTCACGTAGGTATAAATAAAATAAAATAAATCACGTCTTCAGGTAAAAATCGCGACAGCGGCGATGTCTGCTGCGAGCAGCACGATGTCCGCTCCCTTGTGAGCAGACGTCGCAGCTGTCGCGATTTTTACCTGAAGACGGGCGCTTGTGTTGCGTTCGAAACGTCGTGATTTATTTGATTTTATTTCTAACTCCGCAGGACGTCATAAGACCTGGCATTTTTGCCAGTTGCTGCATTTACGTGTAAACAACAAACAAAAAAACTCAACACATTCATTAATAATACTGTGTGAGCTTAAAATAAAATATATATAATAGGTGACATTTCAGGTGATGACCCTTCTTCACAGTATATTTCCATTTAATTCTCTGTCCTCCAATATTGCGAGATAGTTTCTTCCCAAGATATGTCCATTAGGTTTGCAGCTCATAGGTGGCAACAGTATTAAAGCAGGACTTGTAATGTCCCAGGAAGACTTCCAGATTTCCCAGGACAGCAATTACCCTCAACAAGAGGACGATCCAATGAAAATCAGGACAGGTGGCAAAGCTCATCCAGACCGAACAGAGCCTCTGCAGCCCGTCTATAGGAGTAGGTAGCAATATTTTCCCCACTGGCATCAAAGACAAAACACCTTTCCTATGACTCCTTCCATTTTACTTCAGGAGTAGTTCTACGAAGGCCTCTTTTGAGGACTGTTCTCTGGTACACAGTGACACACGGTGCACTCTGAGCATTCTAAATCGTACTTCTTCTTCCTACGGCATGGCGCAATGTACACAGATGTTCATTGCTAAGAAAGGCTACGACGCAAAGAGGATCCGGTTTGTCATACAGCTGCTGGGATTCTCTCTCTCTCTCTCAGGGGCTCACCATGTTGCTGGCACATGCGGTGCCCTCGGCTGCCGGCAGGAACTTGGTCTCGCAGTGCCGCCCGTCTCGGTGACACCACAGCGCCTTGCAGACGTCCTGCGCACGCCGGAGGAACGGGCGTCTGGGTCACGAGTGGCGAGCGCGTGGGAGCGCTGCGAAAGCCACCCTCCGCACGTGCATGCCAAACACACAAGTGCACAAAAACCAAGACGAAATCCCCCAGTATTAGCCTTCAACAGACTGTAGGGGGCAAGAGCTGGCACACGAGGGGGGTTGGATGGGCAGCGCCAAGCCCGACCGCCTTTGTCTCCCCAGTGACGATGTTTACACATCGCACCAGGGACTCATTTTAGGCTGAGTCGACCTAAGGGAGGCCCAGGACTGGTTCAGATAATTGTCACCGGTGTTGGCCGTGAGCGGGAATCAAACTACCACTCCCCACATATAAGTACACACACACAGATAAAGGCACTCGCGAACACAAACACACATACACACCGACATACAAAAGGCGGAGATGCAATGTTTAGCTGTGTAGACCACAGCACATTTTATTTCTGCTCGTGATGCAAGATGGAGTGGTGGTGTCGCCAGCATCACACCACGACGGCTCTGCCTCGCCCGTGCCGACTCTCGCAAACTCTGCCAGGCACTCATGGACCAAGTCAGCGCAGGGGTTGGCAAACGAAATAACAATAGCCACACGTCAGGCAAGCATTTAGGGCTGAGTCAAGCCACAACAGGCCCAACAAAGGTTCTGATACCACTTACATTAGCCAGGGCTCGGAATCCAATTCAGTGAGCCGGAGTCATTGAACAGCGTGAAAACCACAAGTGCCATTATTCCCTACTACACGCACACATATTTAACAAAGGTCTGCGACGTAACCAATTGCGGTGACTGCAATGTGTAATTATAATGATCTGCTGTTCCTTGAAAGTGTGTGGAGCTTGAATGCATTTGTACACTTTGGCATTGAGAAAAAATAATCATTGGGCAGTTATTCAAGGAAATGTGCTATTTGAGTCACGCTAGTCAGCACGTATGATTTACAAGGTCGAGCCTTGCAGCCGGGTGCAAGTTAGGGCTTGTCGGAAGCTCTAAGTTCTTGCATGGAATATGTAACCAATTAAATGTTTTCACAAGTGTGTTGCCAGTGTAAGTGTGTCGGTGATGCATTGGGAGAAACTCTGGCAGCTTTAGCAAGGCCATTCTGAGATAGGTGCATTGTACGTGTTATTTTTATACCATCAAGTTGTTTATTGAAATGGAATAAGTAACATTTACTAGAGTACTAGAGACTGGTCCCAGCCATGAAAATGTAGAATTTCCACCCTTGGTTCAGGACCGCTGAAGGAGGCAAGCAACCACCCCACGCTCATTTTACAAGCGATGCAACTGTGACTTGACCTTTGACCTGAGCCGTACACGCTGCTTCGCTGAAAGTGATAACACACAATCTGTCATCAGTTCAGCAATAGGCAGCCTTGCTTTACTAAAATAAGGGCCAGTCAATTATGGTTTGGTGTGCTGCCCAACTCAGCAGGCTTCCCAGCCACTTCAAACCTCTTATTTCCTGCCCGCATGAAAACGTAGGAAAAAAAAAGAAAGAGACAAAATAAAAATGTGTCCTTTGAAAGTTAGCAGAGCGTGTGTTTCAGCCGGCAAGCAGCTAAAGGCCGACCACTACTGCCAAGCACGTTCGCACACTGTGCCACAAATCGATCGCCGGATTTATAAATGAACCAACTACGTGTGAATTGGCTTCATTCTCACCTTTACCAAACCCTCACCTTCGTTTCCCCTCTCTGCCATGTGGAATCCCATGCAGAATTTGTCATCATGGTACACTGGACTTGCTATCTCCCAGCGAAGCAGTTCAAATAACTCGCAAATCTCCCCCGCCTCTGGCCCACTCAACCAGTATCAATTGAGAGGCAACGGTTCTCTGATCGGCAGGCCGTGGTGCCATTGCGTAAAATAATGGTGGACCCACCTCTTCCAAGCCTTCTGGGACAGCATGGAAGAATAGGCCAAGATTATCCTCAACAGGGGCTTTCTCGAGCTCCCCTACTAAGAGGCTGGCCTTGGAAACAATCCCACTGCTCTCCTGTGCTCAGAACCCGTGCCCCGTCTTCTCCGTTCTTACAAAGCAGCTTGAAATGCGGATGATAAAACAAATTGCATACTATTCGGCTGTGTTTCTCTTCACGCGATGCTGCCGTTTGCTCTTCTCTGCAGCTCCGCAGGGACTGGGTACTGTTTTCATCGCATTGCCTCGGTGGCGTGGGAAGATTTTTGCAGGGGCATTCTCTTCCGTTGAAGTCTTAGTCTGTAGCTCGGATTGAGATTTTAATTTTAACAAGCGTTTTAAGGTTGTGCTGCTCTAAGGCATTTATGTTTTTTCTCTGGGAACTTTGTGCTCATTGTTCGGATGTGTTTTTTTAAGTTATCTTTGCCGCCTTCTGCTGGCATTTTCTTTCTATCTCTTGCAGGCGAGATGTGTATCTCAATCGACTCTTTAGTTAAATGAAAAAGCTCAACCTTTATCTCAATTGTGCTATAATCTCAAACGTAAAGATGTTTCTTTTGTTTATCTTAAACTCCTTCAAGTCACGAGAACATTTTGCGTCACTGATCGGGCCCCGGAAGGTGACGGCACGGAACACTTCCACAAGTCTGTCTTGTGAAATGCTGCTGTCTCTTCAAAAAATATGACGAGAAAGCAGCATTCCTTTAAGTAAGTGGTCAGTTTGGTTTCCCACCCCCAAACCTCAACAGCTCTCTAGGAGGAATGCGCTGCCAATTTTTTTAATTCACCAGAAAAAAGATAGATCGTTTCGGATTTTTCCCGAAAACCAGAAAGTAGCATCACTAACATAACATCACGTCCGCTCCTTGTCCCCGCCAAATATGGTGCCACGTGGCACCATCACGTGACGCCACCATTGTGTGCACGAAGACATTTTTAGATTGGGTGCTTGGTGGAATTGATGCAAAGATCCCAAAGAGATCCCAAAATCCATTCATTAAGAAGACGAAACGTTCCAAATCTGACAATCGTCCATTCTCTCTACAGGTAGGGGAATCGGAATCTACGTGCTTGTGTTCACACCGTCCACACATTTAGTGGACGTCTCTGCGGATTCTGTCGTGGCCAGGGGAGGGCTGAATCCGACGACACACGTCTGTCGGGTCGCTCGTTTTGTGCAACGCGTTCGGCGGTGTAGAGCGCCACACACACGGCGCGGCTCAAGGCGTCCACGGAGCCAAGGAGCATGAAGTGTATCGGGAACTTGGTGAGCGGTCTGCATAAGTGTGACGCGTGTGTTTACTCGGTAACACGAGCTGCTATTCTCCGCAATCCTTTGCAAACCGTTGCCAACAATTTAACAGCGAGGATACAAAAATCATTGACAATATGCCTTGCAATTCTGTACTAATCATCGTAGAAACATTCCATTTACCAATGAGAAAAGGTCAGCTCCATACCAGCTGGATTTTTTGGTTTTTCCACGGTAATTAAAAGCGAGGGAGGGGGGGTGGGACACGGCGCAACGCGCTCCCGTTACGAGGGCAGCATACGATGTTAACAGCCTCGCTTACCAGCCAAACCCCAACACGTAACCACTCGTAATGTAGGTCGCATTCAAGCAGAACTCCTTCATCCACCCGCATCTATGCGCTGACCACATGATTGCTCTCAGCTGTGAGATGAGCATCAAACTTCCATGTTCACAGTCGGCAAATTACCCTAAGTGCGATGGGAGGGGGCTGGTCTATTCATGTGCTATTATTTTGTGCGATTGTAGTGTATTTTTAGGGTCCTTCCTAGAGCGTACATTGGCAGTGCTTCTATAATGCGAGGATACAAATGAGGCGGTCTGTTTTTTCCCCAACTTCCAGTTTGATATTTTTAGCCAGTGAGCTGAAACCAGTCGACGTTTTTTTTTGAATGGTGAAATAATAATTGTCAATCTTTGTAATAATCCACATTGGATGGTGCGCCAGTTGACGTCAGATATATTATACATCTCGGAGCCACACAGCAAATTTACCGGGCTATTACGAGACACAATGAGCACAAAGTGCACTGTTGCTAAAATGTGTGTTTTACTACGCCAATTCATGAAGTGCATCTATACAATGTATTGTTCACTACCTCGCCTGGTATACAGGAGGTCGTGGCTTTGCACTACGAATCGAGAGACCCGAGTTCGATTCCTGCTCACGGCCAACAGCTGTGACAATTATCTGAACCAATCCTGGGCCTCCACTAGGTCGACTAAGCCTCAAAATTAGTACCTCGTGCAATGAACAAACATCGCCAATCTGAATACAAAGGCGACCGAGCGTGGTGCTGGCAACCCCACCCCCTCGTGCGCCCCGTGCTGCCCTTCGCTCGCTAACCGCACTTGCCCCAACAGTGTTAAAGGCTATAGCCGGGGGATCTTTGTCTTTAGTGTAGGGTTGCTGTGCAGCTCACCCGCTTGCCCTCAGAGCACATGCGCGCGACGGTACCGAACAGCCACCGGCACTGCGTGTCGCCATCGTACAGCTGGCCCGGCAGCTCCTCGGGGAAACGGAAGGGCACGGAGGTCTTGGGTTTGTCGGCCAGGCAGGCGGCTTGTGGGGAACTGGCAGCAGAGACAACAGAACTCGAACGAGCGCACCGACAAGAGAGACCGAACGACCGCGACCACAACAGAACTCCTACGATCGCGACGCCGACAACAGAACTCCAACGATCGCACCGACAAGAGAGACCGAACGACCGCGACCACAACAGAACTGGAATACGATCGCGACGCCGACTAATCGTCGAGCGCCCAGCGCCCACCCCTCTAGAAGGAAACGGCCCTGGCCACTTTCCTGCCGAGTGGAATTTTGCGATTGCACTGCCGCGCGGCTCTCAGGCGCGTTTTTTTGCGGGACGTGTATCGCGGAGATATTCGGCACGACGTCCGACGTTTCGCTTCTGCAGGTGGAGGACTCATCTTCTAGGTTCTTTCGGTAAAGTCACGTAGAAGGAAAATAATAAAATAATAAAAATAAAACATAATCAAATAATTCTCACGACGTTTCGGCCACAACGCAAGCAGCCGTCTTCAGGTAGAGAACAGGTCTGTCCTTCTACGTGACTTTACCGAAAGAACCAAGAAGATGAATCCCTGCGGTCACGAAAGGTGGAGGACTCTTTTTGAAAGGAGGAAGAAAGAAAAGTCTCCATTGGTCAGCGATTCAAAAGAAAGCGTTGGGCAGCTGGAAAGTTTTGATTTAAAGCTTTCGTGACTGCAGGGATTCATCTTCTTGGTTCTTTCGGTAAAGTCACGTAGAAGGGAAGTAATAAAATAATAAAAATTAAACATAATAAAATTATTCTCACGACGTTTCGGCCACAACGCAAGCAGCCGTCCTCAGGTGAAGAACAGGTCTGTCGAGAAGACAGAGAGAGAGTCTGTCTTATGTTTTATTTTTATTATTTTATTATTTCCATTCTACGTGACTTTACCGAAAGAACCAAGAAGATCATGATGAGTGTTTGGTGCAATGGGGTCCACGGATGAAATGCACCTCATACATACACATTATAATTAGTTGGCACAATGAGGAGCGCAGGTAGTGCATCTGCCAGTCGAGTCAGTCAGCGAGCTTGCAACACTTCACGTGGCCTCAACGTGCACCCGGTGACGTTACCACCACTTTGAGAAGAACGGCAGCTGTTGTTATTTTGGCGTCATGGCTAGATTGATACTAATTGCTTTAGAACTGCTTTTTTGTTTGTTGTCCTTCCCCCCCTCCCCGCACCTCCGATTGGCACGGTTGGCTACGTACGGCGCAAAACAAACTCAACACGAATTAAATACTCGTACTTGTCGACAAAAGTGGCTCTGGCGGTACGGGCTGTGGCGGTCTTCGTGTTCTGGCAGCGAGAGTGAGCCGGGCGCACGAGCACTTACTTGAGGAAGCGGTGCAGGTACTGGCGGCTGCAGTCCGACCAGGTGAAGACGCCGTTGTTGCCGGCGAGCGTCGGAGACATGATGCTCCCCTCGGTTTTCTTGCACGCGTTGCCCTCGCCGTCGTGGATCATGCCGAAGCTGGCGAGAAGCGCGCAAAATCGAAAGGCAGGGAAAAGGGGTGGAGGGGGGGGGGTTATCCCCATGGGGACAACACCGACTGTTGTTTTCGCGAGCGCCTATTGAGGATGGCCACGGCGCGCGACCGAGGGTTCGTGTGCTCGGAGCCCGGGTTGTGTAGTTTTTTGGTGAGCAAATGCAGCGATGAAAATATCGCTCAGCCACAAGTGTTTTTATTATATTTTAGAGAACGATGACCGTGATGGCAATAAATAGACGTGATGGCAACAACGGCTGCCCCGGCGAAAGTACCGATGGGTAACTACGATTAGATGAAATTACCGAGTCCGAATTAAGGCACAGACTGGGATTATGTAGTCATGTCGTTAGAGACCGCAGTGCACTCAGGGAGACCAAAACACGGTAACTGGCTTCATAATGCGTGGAAAAACGATTCTCAATTCATCCGATTGGCTCATATGATAGTATGAGTGGAAATTGTGCGCCCCTCGCACCAGACTAATACTTCACGAAAGTTCAACAGGTGGCCATCAGTGTAAATGTTGTTGACGAAATGAACACTGGTCAGAACCCTGGCAAATTGTGACCTTTGACTCCCCCAGTGCTGGGTATTCACACTCCCCACCGGGTTCTCAATGAAGGCTGAGTTGACCTAGGAGAGGCCATTTACAGGAGCACGCGCCAGTCATTTAAATCCTTTATATTAAGTTCACTTGCGTGCTTGCTTGCTTACGACCGTGCAAATCTTTCGGCCGTTTTTTAACCCACTTCCCGTGATCCAATCGAGCTGACATTTTGCACACAGACTCGTTGTGCGTGACAATTTCTTTCCGTGAAATTTTTTTTCCAAAATTTGACACTTTTTTGGTAAAAAAAGATTATATTTAATTACCAATTGCTTAATGGTAGCAGGCAATCATCTGACCCATAGGTGGCAGCCATCTCAAGCCAGAGGACGAGAGGACTCTAGCCGCCCGTTTCAAAGACCAATGTGGGCTGGGTTGTGGCCCATTGAACACGCATATAAAGGATTTATAGTGAAAAACTTTGTTTTTACGGGTTCATTTTTTTTCCCACTAATGTTTGTCATTGGTAAAGATCCAACAAGCGTGGGATGACACTCATCTCCACTCACGGCTCCGAGACGTCGAGTGTTAACCGGAGGTGCTCCTTTAAGCCTGGGGCCCTTGCCAAGCTCGCTACAACACTGCTCTGAGACAAGAGTGGAGTTTACGCGTTCTTCAGGGCAGGGGACCAGTCTCTCCATAGGACAACGACTGCTGGCATCCCACAAAGTGGTATTCATTTTAATGTCCTGAGATGATGATGATAGGCTGACACCTGACGAGGATTTTAAGTCGTAACTTTCCGATCACGGGTCAAGCACTCTGCGAGAGCGTGCCTCGTACATACGCGTGTCGAATCCAGATATCTCGTTGAACATTTATACTCGTCAATAGTTTTAGCTTTTTGTAATTCCTTTAAACCGGTGTAATTTCACACGAATCACAAGCGATTTGTAAAAAATAAAAATCACACAATGAATCGTATATCTCTCAGGCCCATTAAAATGACATGGCACGGAGATTCAAATTTCGAGAACCTCACTCTTTGACAGTTCCCTAAATTCCATATCTGATTATGTGAACGGCCACAAATTAGACTCCGTGTTTACACTTATCATGCGAGCAAGTGTACTCGTGGATGTTATATTTAGTTCAAGTTTGCCTTGGCATGAATCCACATGGCATGACGTTGTGTGCGCAAGTCTTACATCCCCATTTAGACCCGGTGCAAGATATGTTATACACTGCCCAAGGCAGTCAGAGTGTTGCTTGCTAGGTGTGGGAATAACCGTGTTTATCCAGGTGTATGGTAATGCATATTAAATATACAACACGCGCGCGCGCATAAGCGCACATGCATACATTTCTACACGTGGCCAGCTGCACACTTTGTTTACAGCATGCAAAGTGATATATTACCACCCTCTACAATTTCCCACAATCAGATCTTGCCAATAGATGTAATAGAAGATTGGCTGTACATCAATGTATACAGTTACCTCGAATGGTCACACCTGGCATAACAGATTTCTCAACTCGTTCACCACGCAACAAAGATCCCCCGTGTAGCCTTAACAGACTGTTGGGGCAAGTGCTGTTCGCGAGCACCTATAAAGGCCGGCACGGCACACGAGAAGATGGGTGGCCAACACCACGCCCGACCGCCTTTGTCTCCTCAGTGGCGATGTTTACACAACCGCACCAGATACTCATTTGAGGCTGAGTCCACGTAGGGGAGGCCCAGGACCAGTTCAGATAATCGTCACTGGTATTGGCTGTGAGCGGGAATCAAACCCGAGTCGCCAGGTTCGTAGCGCAGCGTGCTAATCGCTACACTACCGCTCACCACACATATACACACACAAATGTCTACACTGCATAGCAATTGATTGAGTTGATTGTAGCAAACACTGCGACTAATGTATGTGACACACACTACTGCATTAGCATGAGTTCAAGTCCCGGTCACGGGGTTAGTGTAACAGATCTTGTCTCTGAGATCGGTAAACATGAACACTGCACGGCACAGTGAGGCTAAAAAAAAACATGATCTGAAGTCAAGAAAGGTGGCTGTGCTGTGGGCAAACGATCCCTGTCATAGGAATGTGGAATTGTCAAAAGCTGGTTGGTTCAGAACCACCATGAAAGATGAGCAGTACTGCCAAACAGAGATGTGTTGGTTTCACGCGTAGGCTTTCACGACCAATATCATCCACAATACAGGTTATTTTAGGGGGTTTGGTCGCGTAAATATAAATGTGTCATTAAACTCGCCACCACCCGACACAGCCAATTAGTAAGGTTTGTCACGTAAACAGAGCTTGCCAATTCGTTACTAGTACAGCACACCGGTGTGTTGGAGAGCAAAGCCACAACATTTACGATCTGAGTACGACGTTTCGCCAGCAATTACAACTAGCTTCGAATTGGCTGTGTCGGGTGGTGGCGAGTTTAACGACACATTTATATATTTACACGATATAACCCCCAAAAAAACCCCGTATTATAGAGACGCGCTGCTTCAGTGAACCTCGACTGGTTTCTTTAATATTACGACACACAAAGGCACGTTCACATTCGCGGTTGACATACAAGCACGCACGATGGGTTCACGTACAGCATCCATTCTACGTGTACGCGGAAAACATCGTGCGGTGCGAGACGTATCCATACTCTTGGGTTTTTTCGGTAAAGTCACGTAGGTAAAACATTTTAATTAATAAAAGTAAAATAAAACAAATTAAAAAATTCACGACGTTTCGGAAGCAACACAAGCCTCCGGATTCAGGTGGAACCGTCACAGCCACGACAGCTGTATCAAGTAAATGAGAGATCACAAGAAATACTACCCCGTATATATAATGGTTGAGGGGGGAAGGGCCAGGAACGGCACACCTTTTTTATTAATATGGTAAGGTGAGGCTTAAGATCTCTCATTTACTTGATACAGCTGTCGTGGCTGTGACGGTTCCACCTGAAGACGGAGGCTTGTGTTGCTTCCGAAACGTCGTGAATGTTTTAATTTGTTTTATTTTACTTTTATTAACTAAAATTTTTTACCTACGTGACTTTACCGAAAAAACCTAAGAGTATGAATCCTTGCAGTCACGAAAGCTTCAAACCGAGACGTATCCAGTTCACCGTAACTTAAACAGCAAGTGCAATTACCGCTTAAGGAAGTGATCGTGAATGTAATCACAGACTACAACATTTGTACTTATGTCTTGTACATGTCACGGTTATTTTTCAACGGAACTGACCGTAAGGGTGATGCCGTATTTGCACAAAGCTTGATTTGTTACCTACTTTTTTTCCCTGCCTGTGTGCTTTTGGAAAGAGCTTGTGCACACACATGTATCATTAATTCATTAGCATTAATAAAATAACATAAATCTTACATTTCTTTTTCCGTTGTTTTTTAACAATCCTTGAAAAATTGTTCCCACTTAATTTTTTTTAATGGATCCCTCAGGCATTCAATATTTAAAGCAATGCATATTTGCACACGCACACACACTTGCAATAGCATGCACACACACGTTTTAATTTATTTTTTTATATATATAAACGAGAGGGACAAGATCTATTCGTGAACACCTTTCGTATTCTCTGAACTATAAGAAACAGCTTCACTCCCAATGTATTTCAAAGCAAACGTTTGGGATGAGCCTCAAATTCTAGTCGGCGCGTGTGCGCGTGTGTGTGAGTGAGACCAGATCTGGGTACGTGTATCGACACTCGGCACAAGTTTGGGGGCGCGTCTGCTTTTCTAGAACGTCTCATAATCTGGCGATCACGGTATTAACGAGCACAATAATAATAATGAGATGAATTTCGATTTAAAGCTTTCGTGACTGCAGGGTTGGTTCTTTCGGTAAAGTCACGTAGAATGGAAATAATAATAAAATAATAAAAATAAAACATAATAAAATAATTCTCACGACGTTTCGGCTGCTTGCGTTGTGGCCGAAACGTCGTGAGAATTATTTTATTATGTTTTATTTTTATTATTTTATTATTTCCATTCTACGTGACTTTACCGAAAGAACCAAGAAAAATAATGAGATGCTTTTCAAAGAGCGCACTTCATTCCCGGGGCATCCCAGAGTGCTGCGCACGCAATACTCAACTGACAACGTGACAACACATCTCATTCTAGATTTGAAGCTTTCGTGACTGCAAGGATTCATATTCTTAGGTTTTTTTGGTAAAGTCACGTAGGTAAAAAAATGTAATTAATAAAAGTAAAATAAAAATAAAATAAAAATCACGACGTTTCGGAGGCAACACAAGCTTCCGTCTTCAGGTGGGACCGTCACAGCACGATACCTGTATCAAGTGTGATACAGCTATCGATAGTGTGATACAGCTATATTGATACAGCTATCGTGCTGTGACGGTTGCACCTGAAGACGGAAGTTTGTGTCGCCTCCG